AACCAATGACGGTGATGTTGTGGACCAAATAATAATCATAATAATAATAATAATAATTTGTCTGAATCGTGTAATGTATTTGCGCAACACATTTCGAACAATCTGATCACACACGGACTTGTCATAGGAATATATATATATAAAAATTAATAAAGAGGTAAGAGGTGAGAAAAATAGACTTAGGTCAAGTTAAAAGGACATATTCAAGGTCAAAATAAAAATGAAGACCACTAAACCAAATAGCAGAGGTAATAGTACATCTGCTATGGTATCAAAACAAAATTTACCAAGGAAGGTTTAATGTGATGACAAATTGTTTTTGAACGCATAAAGGTGGCTTGAACTTTCTAATTGCTAGGGCTTCTACAAACTTTAGGATACGCCCCAAACACGTTTTATAGATAGGTTTAAAAGATCTGTTAACATCAATTTTATGACCTGTCTCTATAATATGTTTCGCAATAGAAGAGCTAGGTCTCCTGTTCTCACCGTTAATAGGTTCTGATGATTCCATTTGTTTCTGGAGCCATTTTGGAATATGCTCTGAAGCCCTTACTTGCAGAGATCGATGAGTCCTCCCTATGTATGTGTGTCCACACGTACATTCAAATTGGTAAATACAGTGGGATGTGACGTCATTTTTCGCATGTTCGAAGGGCTTAGATAGATATAATGGCTTTACATTCTCTAATATTATGATATTAGCTGCATAAAAAGTCTTTTTAACAGCAGCGTTCAGCCTTTGTCTAGTTATCAAGCTGCTTTGATGTCCCATATAGGGTAGCTTGATGTACACGTCTTTCTTAGGGGCGAGTTGGAGAGTGGGTCTTGGTGTTCTGACTACTTTATATCTCCTGATGAACTTTTCTGGATAATTGTTATCAACCAGAGTTTGTGTCAATATTCTTTCTTCTTCATCAAGCGTGTCTTCAGTGCATATTCGTCGGATTCTACTGAAGAGGCACCTTACTAAGCCTCTTTTGTACCGAATAGGGCAGAAACTGTGGTAATTAAGATACTGTCCTGTCCAGGTAGGTTTTCTATAAATAGATCTTTTTATTGACCCATCAAGCCGTCGACTAAGCAATATGTCTAGGAAAGATAAACAATTATCTTCCTCTTCTACAGATGTAAGTGATATGCTATTCTGAACTTCATTCATTCGATTTAAAATTGAGGTGGCAGAACAAGGCTTATCACTGATGACTACGATATCATCTACATACCTTCTATAAAGTGGCACATTTTCGATTAAATCTTCCGATAAATTCTCAATGTACGACATATAAATATAATAATAATAATGTAGTGAATGTTTTGAATGAAGTTAATAACGATCTATAATATTTGGGCGCCGAGTGAGAAGTAGACATTTAAAAAAAATTATATTTGTAAAATCTCAGCGATATTGAAATGAGTAATTCCAACGTTTCGTTCGGCAATCTGGTTATAGTAATAACGAAATATTGATAACAAGGCTTATATAGGTGTTAAGAATAACGAAGTTAGTATATGCATATATGTAGACAATTCAATAAATAAATAAATTAGGTCAAATCAAATGGAACGATAATCAGAGTTTAAATAAATATCATAAAAGTACGCAGGAGAGGGATGATAAGAAAGGGTGTGAGGGTTTTGAATAGAATTCACCTAGGCCAAGGGAGAGACAAAGGTAGAACAAATTTCTTTTGTATACAAAGACTAGGATTGTTCTCTCGAATTCCCATAGTTTCGGCTAAGTGTAAAAGACGGGTTCTGATTCCGTTCGAAAGACTCGATGGAATGCGGTAAATAACTTTGAAAGCACTATTTTTGTCCACTTGGTGACCACTATCAATCAAATGAGCCAAAATAGAACTTCGTATGGATTTTATTTGACCTTTTCCGAACCATGAAGGAAGATGCTCATTAATGCGTTTGTTAAGCTGTCTAGTTGTTCGACCTATATAGCTCTCTCCACAGGAGCGACTAAATTTATAGATACACATGGAAGTGGCACAACTAGGTAGCTTATCTTTCGCTTGAGCAATCAAAATTGGTCGGCTGGAAAATGACAAACAGAGGGTGGCGGCAGTATAAGACAGTTTTATCGTTCTCGATAATCTCTGATGTAAGACTTCACTAGCCACGTCCCCATTAAATTGCAGTTTCATGAACAGTTGTTTCTTTTTAACTGTTGTCGGTTTTTCTTTATTGTACTTAGCATTCATGTGTCTCCTGGCAAATCTACTAGGATAACCCATTTGGACTAACGTATTTTGAATGTATCCTAGCTCATTCTCTCATCGTTATTAACTTCGTTCAAAACATTTACTACATTATTATTATGATTATTATTATTTATGATTATTATTTGATCCACAAAATCACCGTCATTGGTTAAAATTTTATATATATAAGTCTATGTAAATTAGAGTAAAGCCTGAAGAAGATCTAATTGAAAACAATATTTTTCGCTTATATGTCTTGTTATTGATCAATTAAAATCAGATGGGAAATAAGACGAGTGTTTTTTTATAATAATACTAAGTTACTTGTTAGAATGTTGTGATGTGCTTGAATTGAAATGGAATTTTGAGATTATTTATTATCCTCCTGTGGCTTGACTGGCGGTAATAATATCTTTCATATTTCTCGTATTTGCATTGAGTCATTTCTGTTGTATGTGTTGGGTGTAGACTCGATGAACATGGATTCAGTAATCACCCTCTCTCTCCACCTACCCAGATTGCTTTTTAGAATTTTAACCCTCTACCACCCTATTGTGTGGTTGTGTGTTAATGCATGCAGTGCTGAGCTTTTTTCTAAATTACTTAGCTTTTCAGGGTCAGACATTCTTCCTTTAGCTAGATTCTTATGTTCTGATAATCTGACTACCCCCGACCCACTAGTTTGACCTATGTAGTTAACCTAACTCACAGTCATTGCATGGTATTTTGTAAATTATATGATTTTGTCTAATTGGGTCAACCGAAAGGGTCGTTTAACGTACACAGCTTGTCCTACCTGAGTGATTTTGTAGGTTTGAATGCCACCCTAATTCCTGCTTTATTAAGAATCCTACTTAGGGTCTCAGATGTCCCCTCCTTATATGGTATAACAGTGGATGACTTATATTCTCTCTTATTTATGTTATCATTACTAGTTTCACAATTATTTTCATTTTTTTTCGGCGTTTGCGAATACATATCAAAAATATTAAGCATTGACGTTTGATAGCAATGTGGTATTTGTTGTTGTTATTAATATGACCACCTTGGTTATTATTCACTAATTCATTCACATTAGAACTGTAATTCTATTAACCACACTGATATCAGATGTCTATGTTTAATAATTTTATTGTATAGGTGTAAGGAATGATAAAAAATTAACGACAATACAAATTTATTTAAATCGTGTTGTCAAATAAGTTTAACTTTTCTCGACAATAATTAATAAGAACATTCTTCGTATCAATACAGCAAGAGTCAGGAAGAAGATGTAACTTTTACAACCTTTTAAGTTAGTAAATATTGTCAACTTTAGGTGAAATAATCTTCATATAGCTGAAAATTTTAGCGATATCATCTGCTAACATCTCCGATGATTATTTGGCCTCACAACCGATCAGTTGGACTTCACGGGTCACGACTTCTCACTGGAACTCCAGTCACTAGCAAGAATCAGATTAATTTCTATGATTTGTTAGGAGTTGGATATATAATAGACCACTGGATTCTGTCTTAATGGCTAAAATGGCTTCGGGTGCTACACGGAATGTGGCGACTTGAACTTCCGCACATTTGTGCAAAGTTCTATGTCGAAAACAGACAGACAGACAGACAGACAAGGTTGTCTCGTAATCAGGAGGCCCCTAGGTTGGAACCTCGGTGGATGCGACATTCTGAATAGTTCGATATTAGGAAGAAACAGCTAACTAACCAGGACTCTCTGGTTCTCTTTTCATGATCAAACTTGAAACAAATCATATTCTTGCAAACTAACTCGTGAAAATGGTCAGTTTTTGAAAAGGAGTAATATTTACCCAAACTTCAAAATATAAGAAACTGATTATAATTTAACAAAGTGAAGTACTGGAAATCTATAATCTGATAATTCGCACTGAAAACTATACGCCTAGAGAGCTACAGAAAAAGATTATTAAGTAAAAGCTTGCAGAAATGGAGCACAGCAAAACATTTTGACTGGTTTTAGCCATACATCAGAGTGTTTTTACCAACTGTAAGGAAAACTAGGCAGGGAAAATCTGTTAAAATAATCCCATCTGTTTCTTAGAAATTAAGTTTTCAGGTTTCCACATGAAGCAAACCTTGAAAAGATCCCTGTTTGTATCACAGGTATGAAGTCCAGTTTCATACAGAAAAAAAACACTGTATAAGGTGAAATATCCTAGTGGAAACAGTTTTCTGAAAAACCAAACACATAAAATTTGAAACAACAAACTGCTCGGTTGAAACCCTAAGAAGTTCCTCTAAATGCGAAAGGAAACATTTCAGTGGAGTGTAGTAATAGTTTGTTTTCATTAGTGATAAATGCTTAGCTTATATCTTTACACAAAGCGCCAGATTCATTTCATATAGTTACGTAAAGACTGTATAAACAATGCATAAGTTTGTATCGAAGACGTAGTTCATGTTGAACTATATATGTAACACCAAGTTCCGATCTCTACACTCCTATCATAAACTCATGCATTACTATATTACGAGTAGAACTGCATACGGTGCCAATGTCATTGCTTTCAACATAAAAGGTTAGATAGTCGACAAGATAAAAGGGAAATCTGGTCTGCATATGTGTGTGTATGCTTTGTATACAAATACCATGAAGGCTCAATGTATCAGATCCCTAACCATGATAGATTAGGATGAAAGTTTCTTCAAGTGAGTGGATCTTTTCAATGCTTTTTTAACCGTTATATTGATTTAATATTATTTCTAAATATATTTTTTAAAAATTTTTCCCGTCCGTATTATTTATTCTTTTTCTTCAAGTTATTTAATACTTAAAGAAGCCTACCAATGTCAAAATCAACATAAATTTTGTTATGGTTGTATATACACATGGTCTAAAGGGCCTACAGCTGGTCATGACAGTTGTCCAGTATGCAGATGTGATGGTTTATATGCTAAGAATTTTGAGGTAAGTTGTATAATTATGTTTTTATCGAGTTATTTATCTATGTAAAAATTATAAGTCATCACAGTATTGAAATTCAAGTGACTTTTAATTCATGAATAATCCGCCTTCACACATTAATCAAAACAAAACACATCGTTCAGTGAAAAGGCTTTTTTCGGCTAATTCATGTTCCTTTTTAGTTGTACACTCTCATTTATATACTCTTAACTCCCTAGATATGGAACTAGGCCTTCTGAAAGAAATTCTCCTCCAAAATGGATACCCACCAAGATTCTCATTGATATGAATATCAAACAAGTAATTCAGAGAAACGGAACATTACCTGCACCACAAAAACAGAAACTTTACATGAACTTGGATTTCATAGGAGACTTAACCTGCAATATACCTACGAGAGGAATTCAATCATTCCTGAGAAGAATATTCTTCGCGAAAATGCTAAGAGTAGGGTCCTACAGTCGTCCACTGCTCTGTAGGAGGAGCCTGAATAAAAAAATCTCCCATCTGACTTCCACTGTATGTATATATCAGTTTATCTGTTGCTGCGGAGCCAGCTATATTGGCTGTCCGATGTGTGTCCTGTCTAAAAGGTTTCAAGAACACTATCCCGCATGGTTTGAAAATGACAGCAGTGTGATAGTTGAACACCTTATCAACACTAACCATTTCATCTCAACAAACGCCTCCTTTAAAGTAATCTACATAGTGACGCATAACCTGCCAAAGGTATTACGATTGCATCTTCCCTGAACATTACTGAAGCCTTAGCCATTTATTTAGAGAAACCTGGGCTATGAATAAAAACCAAGACTATTTAACCACCTCTATGATCATGGTAACAACCATGTTGATTTCTACTGTCTTGACTTTTGTTTGTTTGCTTTTTAACTCCTCACAACTCTTGTATTTCTTTAGACCTCTTTAAAAATTCCATATTTTCCTTCCTTCCTATGTTCATTCTGATTACAACTCATTCATTGTTATTCATCTTATTACTAAACTCTAATACACTTATTCGATTTCGCTCATAAATTGACTAATATTAACAACTATAATTGAAACATTCAAGTGTTGGTTTGTAGGGATTTGATTAGATACAGGATTTCATCATGAGCTGAAATTAGTTAGAGAACCATTGGAAAACCTGCAGGGAGTACTGGACAGCTGTTTCGTCAGTCTAGCTTGGGGCTCTTCAGCAGTACGCACCCACTGCCAGGGATCGAACCCAGGACCTTCTGGTTAGAAGGCGAGCTAGCTCGTATACCACTAAGCCACTGGGACCCGATCCGATGTTCTTTGAATTCTAACTTCTGCCAATTCACAACATAGCGCGACGCCTAGTCAATGTCTTTCGCGAGTATTTGTCCTCACACCCGACCTGCTGCACCCTACTGATTACGAATTCTCACTAGAACCCCAGGTAACTACCTACCTGAATAGGGCACATCGCTAGTGAGCGTCTCATTGATATTCAAGTGTTGGTATTTAGGACATTGAGACAACTGTTCATTTTTGTTGCTAATGTCTTTCATGAAAAATTGCATACAAATGCGACTGTACAGCTGAAAAGGAAAATGGATTTGCCAAAAAAGAAAACAACAAAGTTCAGCGAAGAGTCTTTTTTCACCAACGAATTCATTCACTTAGCTGTACAATCGCTGTACAATCGGGGTGGGATGTGAAGATTAGTAAGTATTGACAGGGTATGCGTAATATGAAAGAGGACGTCAACGGAGATATGTGTCCAGAAGATAAATTATGTAATAGGTAGAAAGAGTAAATAAAGGGTTGGTTAAGCAGAAGATGTTACTAAGACGCCATACAAAAATTCAAAAGACCAAAGAGAAAGTGAAATATTATTAACAAAGTCGTAGAACTTGGAATTATACCCAAGGTAGGAGGAGAAGAGGGTAGAGGAATTTCTCCTGTGTGCATAATTCAGGGCTTTCTCTCCGGATCGCTGAGTCCTCGTCAGTGCTAAGTATACGGAAGCTTACTGTTTTTGGAGTGCTTCTTTTGACTTTGTGGATGACTTTGAATGAATTCTCCGTGCATATTGAGTGACCAGTGTTGACGATATGTTCAATGATAGCACTCTTTATTGATCCACTGTTTCCTTTTCGTAGCCAAACAGGATAATGTTCTTTGATTCTTTTGGATAAAACACACATCTAACAACCTATATATCTCGCTGCACATGAGTAAGCAAATTGGTAGATACAGAAGTGGCCAAATGCGATAGTTTCTCATAAGAGTTGTTGAAAAACAATGGGTGACTTGAGAATACTGATCGTAACGTAGCGGCAGAGAATGTTATTTTTAGGGCATTAGATATTCGTCTCTTTAAGATGTCGGCCTAGTTCACCTATAACGCCACATTCATGTACAGCATCTTGATACAGCTTAGTTACGAAACGGTAACAGTGGATCAATAAAGAGTGCTATCATTGAACATATAGTCAACACTGGTCACTCAATATGCACGGAGAATTCATTCAAAGTCATCCACAAAGTCAAAAGAGGCATTCCAAAAACAGTAAGCTTCCGTATACTTAGCACTGACGAGGACTCAGCGATCCGAATAGAAAGCCCTGAATTATGCACACAGGAGAAATTTCTCTACCCTCTTCTCCTCCTACCTTGGGTATAATTCCAAGTTCTACGACTTTGTTAATAATGTTTCACTTTCTTTCTGGTCTTTTGAATTTTTGTATGGTATCTTAGTAACATCTTCTGCTTAACCAACCCTTTATTTACTCTTTTTACCTATTACATAATTTATCTTCTGGACACATATCTCCGTTGACATCCTATTTCATACTACGCATACCCTGTCAATACTTACTAATCTTCACCCCACCCCCATCCCCCGCCAGTTACTATTTTGATTATTCATCACATTTTCTTAGACATTTTAATGACTGAGACAATAACGTCAACTAATTTTGAATTTTGTTTGACAATCCTAGTGTACACACACATACATACGTAATAATTATATATATAAAAGCGATTGTACAGCTAAGTGAATTGATTCGCCGACGAAAAGAGACTCTTCGCTGAACTTTTTTATTCTTATATTCATGTCTGGATGGGTATTTTCGCTGAAAAAAGCCTCTTCGATGAACTACGTGTTTTGTTTTCAAAATGATTTTTATATTTAAAACTAATGTACTAAACAGAATTTCTTTGGGTTAATTTTATTATTACTACACTGAGTAGAAAGGCAAAGTATCTCAAACGGATACTTAGAGTTAGGACGTGTGTTAAGCATGTTTAACCATCGCCTTCCTCGACGGGCAATGTTAGCTGACATAGGGTAAGGCTGGAAAAGAACTAGCGGCGGTCAAACCAAAACATGGCTTCACCAGTCAATGAAATAAACAACAGTTAGTTTAAGCCAGTTAGCCACGTAGGAAGATGTAGACTTCCTGACTGGTTGGGGTCCTCGGGACGGTAAAAACCAATGACAGCTGGAAAAATTGATGATATGGCTCAAAATAGTTCTCAATGGATGGACGCAAATGCATCCACTCCTTTTGTCTTATGATTTCCAATGAAACTGTTTTGTTTTTCGTTATTACTATCCCTTTGTCTCACACCTCTGTTTACTGTCTCTATTATGCATTTCTTCTAGTTTCTTCTCTTGCTTTGCGTGCTGCATGGAGTGAGGCGACTTTAACTGCCACACATATGTGCAAAGTTCTATGTCGAAAACAGACAGACAGACTTAGAGTTTTTTTTATGAAAATATGTTAAATATCTAATAGATGTATCCTCGTGCGTTGGTGGCATTGCGGTTAGGACACTTGCCGACCATGCACATGGTCCGGTGTTCGATCCTCGGCCCACGCACTCCTTTATCTCGCTAAGCCAGAAATAATGCTGGCAAAGAGGAAAGGTTGGGCATGAGGCTAGCAACCCCATCCTGTAAAAATAAACACCACTGCTACAGAAACTTCAAGCCATTAGCTTGAGCCCTATGTTTTACTGGGGAACGTTAAGGAAAAAAAGAACTATCGTCTAAGGTGAGACTATGTTAGATAACTGTGATCTGGTCTGACCTGATCTACCGTCTAAAGAAATAATAATGACGTCTAATTGTCATCATCATCCCGAAGTAGCCATACAACCTAAATCAATCCCTAATAGAGGTCAACTTTCTATGAAGTATAATTTTCAGGAAAGTATAATTTCAAAAACTTATACTATGAAGCCAACTAGTAATTAGAGTGATTCATGTATATCAAGAGAGATACGTCATCAAGTTCCAGGTAGAGTGACTGAAACTTTGTGCAAAGTGATTGAGAAGGGAGTGATTAAGTGATGTTGATGCAGCATTGGTGGTAAGCACACACGAAGTATTTTTCAAAAATTTAGAGAACGACATTTCTTTTCATCGTTAAATATTCCACAAGTCTACATTTACTCCTTTTTCGGGCAGATGTATTACTAATTGTTCTGCTCTGTGAATATTCAAATTCAAAAGGGAAAATATTGACATTTCTCTGATAAAAGTGTGAACTTTATTCTATTGACTTCAAAGTGCAGTATAGCTTTGGTGAATTTTTAGTAGCGCTAGTTTAGTTTATACAGGATGGAGTCGCCAGCCTCAACCATAACCTTCTGTCTTTTGAGGAGTTAATTTCGGCCTGTAAACTACTCGAGTTTCAAGAGTTCTTTAGAGTGGAGTCGAATCCTGCTCACCACTGAACAGCAGATGCATATTTAAGTGTTGGTTTGCAGGGATTTAGTTGGTTACAGGATTTCATCATGAGCCGACGTCGGTTAGAGAACCATTGGAAAACCTGGGATTAGTGCTAGACAATCGTTTCGTCCTTGTTCGGGACTCTTCATCAGTAGGCACCCGCCGCCAAGGTTCGAACCCAGGATCTGGTTACAAGGCTAGCGAGCTTGTAGATCATTAAGCCAATGGCCCATTAATTCTAACTTCTGCCAATTGACGACAAAGCGCAACCGCTAGCCAATGTCTTCGGCGAGTATTTGTCCTCACACCCAACTTGCTGCATATTTATTTGATCAGTTAAACAATAAGATGATATTGTTTTCTTTTTCTTTTCTTCTTTTTTTTGAAAAATTTTTTTAGTTAAGTGATCGTATCAATAAAAAGCGTGTTCGTTGTCCACAAAGTCATTGTAATTGGATGGGTATGTTAAGCGCATATCATGAACATGAACACAGACGTTATAGTCCATATGAATTAGACTTATTATTAGCAGATTGTAAAAAGGATAATATAAAATCATTAACATCATTATTTCCATTATCAACACAAAATCAAATAGGATATAATGAAAAAGAATTATCCATAAAAGTGAATGATTCATTACAAATAAATGAAACAAATGAAATAAATAATCAACATTATCATAGCACTGATAATCATCATTCTAATCAACGTTATTTAGATCCTGGAAGAGTACCTAATGTTTGTGAACCAATAAATCAAATAACAGAAGAGATAAATGAAAATTCAGTTGAAAGATTATTAACTACACAAAGACGAATAAGACCTTTAAGAAATGATAGTCAACATAGATTACAATCTTCATTGAGAATTCAAAATCGACAACCTTCACATTCACGTCAAACAGGAGATAGTGGTGAAGGAATGAGAACACATACTTCACAAGAAAGTAACAATCATGTACATTCACAAACATTACATAGAGGGCACCAACAACAACAACATCAAATATCTACAAGTGCAGAAAGGCAAATACAATCACATGAAATACCAAGTACACCATTGCATAGAAGTCATACTCATACGAGGTTAAGACCAACGCCTATTATAAGAGATTCTCGGAATCGGGTTGAAAGACTGCCCAATGTAAGGAGACTACAAAGGCCAGCGTGTGATATCACAGAACAACAACTACCTGATAGTTTACATGCTACACATTATCGAAGTGAGAATAGTCAGTCTAGTAGTCGGTTAGATTTTACACCGAATAATACTGGAAGTCAAAATATAGAAGCGAACTATCTGATAGATAGGACAGAAATAAACAGAAATGAACAAAATATCAATATTTCTAGACTTTCACAAGTTAGTCTACCAGCAATTAATTCTAGTGAAACAATTACTGCTAGCTCAAATACACAACAAGGGATAAATAACACTGAATCATCATGCCAAAATGTCAACTCATTTAATTCAATTCCACGAATCCGTCAACCACTTGAATTTCGTCGTTTAGTACCTCGAAGACAACGAAGAGTAGTTGAACAGTTGAGAGAAACTCGTGAACAGCTAGCTGCAATGCTTCGTCTTATGACTATGGAATTAGAAGAAAGACAAAATCGTGTTTTTAATTCAAATCCAGAAATAGGTAACCGAAATAGATTATTAAGAAGTCAAAACAATTTATCTCCTTATAATAATAATAATACTAATGAAAATATGTATTCAGAAGATACAACAAATGAAGAATTTCTTGGAGTAAACAATCGAAATACACCCACGAGACGAGTGCATACACCTGATGCCAGGGAAAATGATAATCAGTCGAATTATTATACTTATCAGTTACGTAATATAAGTACACCTACTTCAACAATGAATTACAATAATAATAATAACAGAGATGTATCAGGTACACTTTTGACACCAACATATAGAGAGCAGAGAGCTACAACTACAGCTGGTACTCATACAGAACAGATGAATACTAATAATAATCGATATGATACTATTCCCATAACAACAACCACAACAACAACAACAACAGTGAATAATGCTCATCAATCTTCTGCTTCATCATTGACATCAACATCAAGATTATTAACACGTTCACGAATTAATACACTAGCACAAAGAAGAACTCCGTCAAGTTTATTTACACCGCATAATAGAAGTATACATCTTAACGAAAACAATGAAAGACAAGTCACCATAACAACAACAACAGCAACACGAAGAACACCAAGAATAACAACTTCATCATCATTCATGACAGGAGACAGTAGTAGTGATGAAGATGAACAGGATAGTGATGAAAGCAGCAATTGCTAGTCTATTTGTTGAATGAAATAATATTCACAGAAAATATAAGATCATTATCAATTCATCACTGTAGTTAGATAATTAATTAGTTAATGAACAGAGAAAACGTATATACACCTATAAGAAGAACACATGTGTCTATATAAGATTGCTTTCTATACAAACAAATCAACATTATATATATATATATATATATAATTTACTACTTACAATGTTCGAGTGTTTCGTTTGTTTTTGTTTATTTACAATATTTCAAACAAAAAATAAATACACATCTCACTTTCTTCTCCAAGCAAACAGGTCATTTGATGGGCAGTCACTAGCAGTGGAATTTATGATATGAACTTCGTCCTATTTGGGACTCACCACCAGCCGAATCTACCACCTGTATTCTCTAGTGAGTGGTGGTGTCTGCACATAGAAATGAACTGCGTACTCACCATTTCAAATGCCAATGTGTTATCCACTATACCACAAGAGCAACAACTGTCAGTTCTTGATTTTCCCGTTGGTTGATTGGACAGCTCTCGTAGTCTAAGTGGTTTAGTCAGTAACGCCTTGGGATTTGAAACGATTGGTACTGGGATTCAAGCCTCAGTGGGAGCATCATCACTTACTAAAGAGTGCAGGTACATCAAGCTGATAAGTCTCAAATAGGAGGAAATGCATATCTTACAATCCACTGCTAGTCACCGTTCACTAAATGACTTCAGGTTAATCCTGAGATATCTTTGAAGCGTCCTCATTAGGAGCTGACATGTTCACAGAGGCCAAACATTTCGGTCAGATCCATCAATGGGCAAATCAAAATCCTATATATATATATATATATATATATATATATATATATATACTACCAATGTGTATACTACATAGTAATTACTTCACTTCATTCATTGTATAAGAGAAATCGTGAAAAAGAACAACTAAGCAAAGTTGTTTGTAGAATGAGGAGTTATTTGTTGCAAAAGCTAAAAGTCAACCACTCTTTAGCATGCTAGCCAAGTGCTCATCACAAAACAGGATGACTTTAGGTATCTAATGAAGAAGAGAAATACATCATTGAGTTGACTGACAGAAGTGAACTAGTTCACAAGTTCCCACACTTCATATAGCACACAAAGTTAGGGGAAAAAGGAGAAAAAAGAGATTCAGTAGAAATATGATGGGCAGAAATGTTAGGGAGAAAAAAGAAGCTATATGGTAAGATGGAGAAACATGACGATTTCATGGAAATGGGAGATCACACACAACAAGAATAAAAATGGCACTGCACCACTTATTGTTATTATATTATTACTTCCTTTAATTCCTAGGGAACATAGGGTTTCAACCGCGCGTCTCCATTGCGTTCGGTTCTCTGCTAGAGTTTTCACCTGGCTCCAAGTCTGCCCACATGCATTCATCTCCTCTTCACATGACCTCCTCTAAGTCACCCTTGAACTGATGACCAACTTGCCGCTTCCCTTACGGGTTCCACTCGAGTAATGGATTGTCTAGTGATGTCACTTGATGGTTTCCTCAGAGTACGGTCAATCCATCTCCATTTCTTCCTGCCTATTTGTTGCACAGTCGGTTCCTGTTGGGTTGGTTCGCTCTCAGAGATCCCTATTACTGATTCTTTCTGACCACCTGATCTTGAGTATTGAGCGAAGACAGCTGTTATTGAAAGTCTGTAGTTTTTTTGAGGTGCTCTTTATGACGCGCCAAATCTCTGATCCGTATAGTAGCATTGACTTCACATTGGAGTTGAAAATCCGGATCTTATTTTTGATGCTAGGTGATGTTGACCCCCACACAGACTTGGGAGTAATGAAAGCTTGTCTTACTTTCCCGATCCTCACTGCTCTGATATCCTCGTCAGTTCCGCCTGATGCTTCCCAGGTAGGTAAAAGAACTTCACCACTGCGAGGAATTTTTAGCCATAACACCAATAGTCACCAGCCATTGGTTCTTAGCATTCCAAGGATAGCAACCAACGAGGCTACCTCAAATCAACAGTAGATCAATTTATAGAATGATGCTAAGTTTTGGTTTGACCACATCTAACTGTTTTCCAACCAGCTGAACAGTGACAGACGTGAACAACAATCGCTGACCATGCATGTGGTCCGGGGTTTGATCCCCGGCCGACGCACACTTGATATGAATGGTCGGCTTGCTAAATCTGGGCTACTGATATCACATGCTGAAAATTCTATACTTGTATCAAAAATACTGTGTGGAATCAAGTCATAATAAAATATAAAAAAAATATATTTAATTACTACTATTTAACTGCATGGAGGATTAATCATGAGCTGACATTAGTTAGAGAACCTTCGGAAAACCTGCAGGGAGTACTGGACAGCTGTTTCGTCAGTCACGTTTGGGACTCTTCAGCAGTACGCACCCACTGCCAGGGATCGAACCCAGGACCTTCTGGTTAGAAGGCGAGCTAGCTCGTATACCATTAAGCCACTGGGACGGTAAAAAAAAATCTATGGTTGGAAACAATTTGCGACATGGCTCAAAATCGTTCTCAGTGGCGCAGATGCATCCACTCCCTGTGACTTATGATCTCCAATGAAACTGTTTTGTATTTCTTTATTACTCCTTTGTCTCACACCTCTGCTCACTGTTTCTATTATGCTTTTCTTGTACTTTCTTCTCTTGCTTCGCGTGCTACACGGAATGTGGCGACTTGAACTTCCGCACATTTGTGCAAAGTTCTATGTCGAAAACAGACAGACAGACAGACAAGCCACTGGGACCCGATCCAATGGTTCTTGAATTCTAACTTATGCCAATTCACGACATAGCGCGACCACTTCGCAATGTCTTCTTCGATGAGTTACTGCCTCATCTTCAACCTGCTGTACCCTACTGGTCACGGTTTCCCACTAGAACCCCAGGTTAACTGCCTGAATAGGGCAGTCGCTAGTGAGCATCAGATTAATTTTCAAGCATTGGTTTTGTAGGGATTTTGTTTGATTGCATGGAGGATTTAATCATGAGCCGACATCAGTTAGTATTCATTAGTTCCACAGCTGATAAAATTATCTTCAAATAACTTTTAAATACTCATATACCATCCATACGAATATCAACAGTTTTAGTGATGAATGTATCATAATAAGTGATTAAGCGAAGAAACGGTTACTTTTCAATTAGATTCTCTAGCAAACCCTCTACTCTAATACAAAGCGATTTAATTATAATACAGAAATTAACCAGTCTAGGGGTGATAAGATTGCTCACTGATTGATGTCGGTTAGGGAACCAATGAAAACTAGGGTGGAGTGAACATTGGTTTTGCTCCTCCTTTGGGACTTGACAGTAGTATGCAATCATGATCCCATCGATTATCAAACCCAGAACTATCAGGCTACGAATTGAGCTCGTTGACTGTTTAGCCATTAGGAGAGAATTCAATGACCCATGAATTCTAACTTCTGCCACTTGGCGTTTTTTATCACCACTACCAACCAACCAGTGTCACCGGTAAGTATTTGTGCTCATACTTGACATGATGAACTCCACTGGTCAAGAAAAAGATAGCCTCACCAAGTAACTTGAAGATCTTCCGGTTGGGTCATAGGTGTACATTGCTGAGGAGTCTCAAACTAGGACGGGGCAGGTGCCTAGTACTCCCTTAAACTTAAAACCAATCAAATCGCTACAAGCTAACACTGAGAAAACTAGTGTTAACAAGTTTACTAACAGTAGTTAGACATATATTAACATGTCAAAAGACGTGATAATTATTTTTGTATTTCTGTGAATTCCGGTAGTAATAAGACTGCCAAATATGCTAGATTGCAGGTATACACGAGGATGTAATTTAAAAGTAAATATTACTTCGCCTAATTCTGCTGTCTCCTAATATCTAAAAGGGGATTTTTGCTATAACGACAAGTCACGTAAGCAGACAGTTACTTGTCGGTAACATTGGTTGACGGTTGTGCTATATATATATCACGAATTGTCCAAAGTCAGAATTGACTGGGTCGGGTCACTGTGGCTGAATGGTTTGTACTTAGGAAGAGTCCCAAACCTGGGACGAAACAACTGTCCAGTACTCCTTGGTTTTTTAAAGGATGTCAGCTTGTTATCAAACCTATTATCAATCAAATCGCTGCAAACGGAAGATATTTTAATTCTTTTACCACAAGCTTTTATGAAATTAGCAACAGAAAAGACAAGACAAAAGACAATGCAGCGGGTCGGGTGTGAGGACAAATACTCGCTAAAGACATTGACTAGGCGGCGCGCTATGTTGTGAATGGGCAGAAGTTAGAATTCAAGGACCATTGGATCGGGCGAGCTAGCTCGCCTTCTAACTAGAAGGTCCTGAGTTCGATCCCTGGCAGTGGGTGCGTACTGCTGAGGAGTCCCAAACTAGACTGACGAAACAGCTGTCCAGTACTCCCTGCAGGTTTCCCAATGGTTCTCTAACTAATGTCAGCTCATGATGAAATCCTGAAACGAATTTTAGATCTATCAATTATTCTTTTGTAAAAAGTTTGTTTTCTGTGTGGTATGGAAATCCTCCGTTATCAACTGTTGCAGAAACGGAACAGTTGGCCCATCACATTATCTTTCATGCCGAAATTTTACTTCAAAAGCAAAGTGTACTTTTGATTGGACACTAGTTACTAACTAGTGTAATGTGTGTGTCTAGTCGAATCTTTAGTGCAAACTGAATTCTATCCGTCAAGTTTGCAGTGTGAGCAACATGCTAAATGGTTCGCCATCACGGTGCACATTGATTTGTTGGTATTAGATGGTTGGAGGTGATCGGCCACAGGAAGCCTTCCAACCAGGTTCCTTTCTAGTTGGCACTCACCAGTCAGCAAGGCGTATCTGGAACCTCGAAGGAACTCATGTCCCTTCTGAGATTCTAACCTACGTCACCCAGTGCTGCGGTCAGCGACCTCCTGTAGGTTGTATTGGACTAGACACACGTACATTACACTAGTTACTGACTAGTATCCAATGAAAAATATCAAATACAGTCCTACAAGAGGTCAATCACAAGCCCGAATAGCTCAGTGGGAACGTCTCTGACTACAGAACTCACTGGGTGACGCGAGTTCGAATCTCAGAAGGGACATGAGTTCCTTCGAGTTTGCAGATATGCCCAGCTGACTGGTGAGTGCCAACTAGCACGAAACCTAGGCCGAGCAGGGCTTCCTGTGGCCGATTGCCTCCAACCATCTAATACCAAACGAAAAATGTATAAGAACGGTATTGTAGATACCATCAACCCTATCTTTATGTAGTAAACTTGTCTGGTACATTGATATTTAGCAGATTAACATTAGTTTAAATGATCAGATTAAATAACCTCAGGGATCACAACGCATTTTGGGGGATTAAAAGATGGCTTGATTAGTTTCACTGGCCGTTGTTAATAATAAGAACAATGAGGAAATCAGATAATAAATGTATTATTACACAATCCCGACTGGAATATGACTACTTTTTCAATGAGATATCGTCACAGAACAGTAAGTCCATGGTTTCCACTCTATGCTTTATACTAAGAGTTTGTTGCAGAAGATATCCAAAGAAAAATGTTCATCTATATCGAGTCTTGCAGTTATTGTCCTCCATACAAGTGATGCTAACTAGAAAGTCATAGACAAACAGTATCTCAACTACATGTGTGGTGATAGCTAGCTGCAAGGCGAAATTGTGGACAGCAATTTACGTCAGTCTTATGTCCCGAATCATGGTCATAAGGAAAAAACAATAACAGAGCTTAACCTTGACGAACTTACCAATCAATCACAGAAGACTTAACGTGTGCAAATACGATTCGCACATACATGGCTTAACTTTCTCAGGAACGGTCACAAGTAGTACAGAATAACCTTCGGCGAGAAAACAACCAATCAGAAGACATCGCTTCTCCACTGACAACGATGAACATGAAACTCTATAAATACCTTTTGAATTTCTCAATAAACAATCTGTTACCTGGACCTTGCCTTCTGTCGTTACACATGCATAATCAAAAATTTAATAATTACTAGGTTTCCACTATTAATTAATAGAGGGAATTTAAGCAATCATGATTACAAAAAAAGTTTCCCTTAATAACTAGCAGTTTCTGAAGGCATAATAAGCTGACGTCCAATGTTTCGTAGATTCACTATTAACCTGGAAGGCCTTGCAAATGGCCTATACAAAAATTCGTAAAGCTTAGACCTTTTTATAACCAAATACGGATGTAAATACCACATACAAGTTCTTTGAAGAGTGTTTAAAGTAGACCTTTTACATACCAGTTCTTCTGGTATTTGTCATCAGTATCTTATTGGGCTTTGAAGGACACGTTTCGACATTTGAGGCTTCACTGACCGATGATCACAATAGATCATGACTTGATGGGTAAAACACATATTTGGGACACGTTCACATTCTCATTATTCAAAGTCAATTAGACAAAAGGAATTGCTGATAAGCAGGAGGTCGTCGGAGTCAGTTTCATCGACATATTTGGTTGTGATGCATACCACCGGTCTTTTTGAAAGACATATTACGAGTGACCAACCAGTTGTAAATAAGAAATCCTTCATAATAATTATTGTTTACAACAACAAAGTCTGTGTGAAATGTTGTCCATCATCAATCACGACGAGTATCTAATTACTTTATCTAACGTGTAATTAGAAATAAGACGTGCTTCGAACACGTATTTTTCCAAGCTTGAAATACTTTATATCTTCACTTTTCCTGCCGGATTCCTTTAAGACTATGAGGTAACCTTTGGAACAACACATGTTTTAAATTTTACTATGGGGATATTTAATATGAGTGAATAGAAGCTGATAACCCTTTTCACACTACCAGAATCAGTGACAGCGATACCCACTTTTGTTTAATTTCGGAATTGGCTTTGACTCAAGGAATGACTTGTTGCCAGGAACAAGACTTTTCAACTTAGGGTATGCGGATGCTACTATCCTCTGGAAAGAAGACGCTGGTAAAATATAGTCTTCTAAATACCTTGAGCAAACAACTTCGAATGCCTGGTATGAGATTCGCCCTTGTTAAACGGAAGATACGACTGCGGAACTGGACTACATCGACAGCCAGCTTGAGGATAGGGAATGAAGTGGCGGGACGTGTTTGTCACTTGAATTATTCAGGAAGTTGCCTAAGTCCTAATGGACTAATTGCTTACGAATCCTCAGCACAGATACGAAAGACCCGTCTGTGTTATCTAAACTTAGTCATATTTGGCATACGCGCGATACCTTGCTAATGATTAGTGGACGTATGTACTGCGAAGCAGCATGCTCTGCCCCACTTTATGGCTGAGACGTAGGCTTTGAAAATGGAAAATATGAAGGGGCTGCCTACCTCTGACGACGGATGTTTGCGTTCTATCTCTGGTGTTAACTGGTATAACATGGTGCATAATGTTAAGGTTTCGTGTGGTATTAGGTAAGGAGAAAAGGCCAAACGATGAGGTTGTAAAGCTAAATCGACTGACATGGCTACGATACGTGTTATACATGCCTATCCATTGCCATCATTGGTGCGCAATGTTAGCTGGCATAGAATTAGATTGGCAGTGGTCAATTCAAAATCTGGAATTGATTCATGAAGTCTTTCGATGTGGCATTATTCAGCAAATTAGAGAGGTATGAACTACCTAGGTGGAGTCGACGAGATGCTCGGTGATATGTAGATCTATATATAGTTTGCCAATTGATTTTATCTTTTGTCAAAGGACGCTTACCAGGTGAGATAGGGTCGATAGTTAGACTATCTATTGGTTGCATCACATTTCGAAATCACATCAATACTATCATTTACTACTGGCGAATATAAATATCCTCTCTCGTTGTGTACTCTCCTCAGCTGTGATCACCGTGGCTTTACAATTCGCGCAATTTATAATGAAGATAAGAAAATATAAAACTAAGAACCAATGAGCTAGGGACTTGTTGATACGGCTTAAGACCGTTTCAAATGGTATACGAGTGCAACATTCGCTTAACGTAATCGCCCAGATTCATTAAACCCTCATGTTACTGTTCTTTCGTTCCTCGTATTTCTGCTCATTTATAGCGCTCTGATTTGTATTTCGGTCGATTCTATACGATCGAGTACTAATATGGAGTGGGACAACTTGAACTAGTGCACTCCTGTGTAAAGTTCTACGACGAAACTACGTCAGCCACAGCTCATTGGATTCCAACGTGTCATTAATGAATACAAAACTCATAGATCTCTGCAAGTAAGGACTTCAGAGCATGTTCCTATATGGCTCCAGAAACAAATGAAATCTTCAGAACTTATTAACCGTGAGAACAGGAGACCTAGCTCTTCTATTGCGAAACATATTATACAGACAGGTCATAAAATTGATGTTAACAGATCTTTTAAACCTATCTATAAAACGTGTTTGGGGCGTATCCTAAAGTTTGTGGAAGCCCAAGTGTGATTAAAAAGTTTAAGCCACCTTTATGCGTTCAAAAACAATTTGTCATCACATTAAACCTTCCTTGGTAAATTTTGTTTTGATACCAGTTAGGCAGACGTACTATTACCTCTGCTATTTTGGTTTAGTGGTCTTCATTTTTATTTTGACCTTGAATATGTCCTTTTAACTTGCCTTAAGTCTATTTTCTCACCTCTTTATTAATTTCATATATATTCCTATGTGAAGTCCGTGTGTGATCAGATTGTTCGAAATGTGTTGCGCAAATACATTACACGATTCAGACAAATTACATCTTATTGCTTTATCTAAATTCATAAAGGGAACTAATTGTTTCAAAAAAGTAGTCGTTGGATGATATATTTATATAATCAAATTTATGTAAATATAAAATGCATTAGTAACATCTGTGATTTCCCTATGATTTGTATACATACATGTATAATACTTAAAATCTTGTAATGATACATATGATGTCATTTTATGTTGTGAATACAATATACACAAAGAAATGAAATGAATTCATTTGTTTTTGTAGAATAAGTAAATCCATCCAATTGAGATTTTAACACTGGATCCGTAGAGTTGCTGCCATATCATTAATAGCCTTTGCTAAGCGTCTGGCATTATCGAATAAGTCAACTGGTTTCACATCTGCGACGACAACACGTAAACGATCTTCATCCTGTAAAACAATAACACACACAGAGAGAGAGAGAGAAGGAAAGAGAGAAACAAGAAATGTGATTGGAACTTATTGTTCGTATGGACAAGTTTCTTTGTTAGCTGTGGAGTACTGGAGTCGACATGATAACCTCACTGGACAGTTCTGATTCGTTCATTTGTGGCTTAACTTTCTGAGGGTTTCGTAATTATAAGATACCATGAATTTGGTCTAGTAACAGTCAACATCTTTCTCACTCTGACTGTTTCATTGTGAGAGATGGTTTTCAAGGGATCAATTGGTTATGGTGTCGTGGTGTTATGAAGGCGTATATTCTAGTCAAGTTAGACAAATGTAAAACCCGATGTATCACTTGGGCACAATACTTATAACAAAAGCACACACCTACCTGAAAGTCAAGTAATCAAACCACAAGAAAACTTAACTTTGTCGTTAAATAAGTATGAACTACTCGCCGAACTCATCATTGTCAATACATTGGAATTCTCTTATGGAATTTTGAAACGTATTAGTCATGTGAAAACTTTAAAAAAAACCACGACAGTCAAGTTTTTGATTTGAATAACTATTGCAGTTTATGTGATGAAACATGCAACTAACTTATCTCCATATCAGCCAAAAAAATCGGATATTTCATGAATATTAGAAATTTTTAAAAACCTATTGATTTTATAAAACTCCACAGGTAGATGGTAAAAATTTCCGTTCATACAAAAATCATTTATGAGCGTTTAAGATTACAGATGTGAACACTAGGACTGGCAGGCAGCAATACGCGATATAATCACAAATTGTTTCATTTCATTGCACAATAAAGTGTGTGCATATTTGTAAGAGATACAACAAAACATATTTACTTCAATCTGAAATCTAGTAGTTAATGCTTAAATAAATATATCAATGGTTCAAGGATATGATGCTCACGGCTCCAGGGTTTGACCGCCGGCCAACGAACTCCGAAACCTCGCGCTTAGCCGGTAGTAAACCCGGTAAAGGGAGAAGGCTGGATATCAAGTTAGCAGTCCCAGAACCACTGGAAAACCAAGGAGTATTGAACATCTATTTCATCCTAGTCTGGGACTCTTCACAGTACCCACACACCCGGATTCTAACTCAGGAATTCATAGACCATTGGATCGGGTGTCTCAGTGGCTCTTCCTGTAACCTAAAGGTACTTGGGATTCGAACCCTGATGCGTGGGAACCTCTGAGGAGTCCCAAACTAGGACGGGACAACTATGCAGTACTCTATGGTGGTTTTCTAATGGTTCTCTAACTCGTGGTCAGCTCATGTTCAATCCTGTAAGACAGATTTACCATAGGAAACGAACTACTTAAAATCACTCTACAGAAAATTCCAAACTGTAGAGATAACTGAATTTTAGCCAAACAATGACAAAAAAAAACTTACATTATATCGATCAACCTTAGCACGTAAACGAAATATCCACGAGTTAAATGCTGATTCCATAAACACCCTATCCAAATGCCCTTCATCCTGTTGAACAAATAAATATATACAGTAAGATTTATTTTAAAAGAAATACTATGAACGAAATCAATTGAGGAAAGAAAATATTCTGACTAAAATAAGGGAAGATTGAAAGAAAGATATACTCACTGGATGTTTTCAAGTCATAATATTTAACTGTAGACAATTTACCGGAAAGTTTAATGATATTTTTGTGAGTAAATCTACTGGGCAGTTAGTGTTGAAGGTTTTATACTGCCTGTTGTCATAGTGCTAATAGCCAGATATGAAAACTTGCAGAAACGCAAAGAAACAACTTCCATTTTGTTATTTTAAATAATTACGGCTTCTCACTGTTTGCTTTGCTGAACCTAAATGATGGCTTTTCATCGACTTACTCGCTTAAAGGACAGATATGCCTTGGTGTCATTAGTAGTTTCATTCCTACCTAATGTGCAAGTACTGGAAAAAGAGAAACGAATCTTTTTGTACTTAAGAATAGACTCACAGCCTGACACACCTGCACTTCATTGTATATGCATGCGTTTACACTGAGGCTAGAGCATAGCATTCATCGTTTCATACATTAATGCGTTATACATCAGTCTAATAAACCACAAGAACTCCTTTTCCGCTACCTTGCCACAGAGATTGATTTTGCATATAGCAATGATTCAGTAACCTGGCTTGAAATAACACTTTTGAAGGTCCTGAAATGTCCAAAGGATAAGTTGGATGAAAGGAGTCACTTTATCGTAAAAACGAAAATGCTAAACAATAACAGATGACTCTAAACTTCTCGAAACGGAATGCTGAAGGAGTATATTGCACTAATCAAGACACTTAATTCAAGCCCAAGCAATTGTGTAGTCTTATAGAGAATCGATATCCAATGTCAAGTTATTCAGCTATATTATAGTCAAAAGTATGAATCTAAAAAGTAAAATATTACTCAACAACCACCTGAACTTATACGCACAGTTGGGAATGAGTCGCAAGTGTTGTGTGTAAAGGCTAGTGACACTACCTGGCTGCACAAACCTTGGTACGCACAGCGGGATTCGAATTCATAACGTGATATTTAAAAATCGAGTGCCTACACCAATAATGAGCCACGTTTGCGTTTATTTGGTTTTAGTCATTTGACAATCAAAAGTATTTTCATAGAAACGCTTCTTGAGTCTAGAGTTTATAGGAATTGGTTAGAGGATTTCATCATGGGGTGATATCAATTAAAGAACCATTGGAAAACCTGGGAGTACTGGACAGCTGTTTCGTTCTAGTTATGGGACTGTTCAGCAGCACGCACCCACCGCCAAGGTTCGAACTCAGGAACTTCTGGTTACAAGACAAGAAGAGTGTTACTCGTAGGCTGGCGGCAAAGTATGTTACATTGAGATTGAGAAAGCCATCTTCGGAGAAATTCTGCTTCGGTATCACTTTTAAATTTGATGTTCAGTAGAGTTGGCAAACAATATTATCCTTCGCAGTAAAAACACAGCAAAAATCCAATTATGCCCGACATGCAACTTCATCTCTGTTTCACCATAGAGTAAATTTTTGTTTGTTAAATTCACACAGTGATATAGTTTTATTTACCGATGACGTCTCAAACAGATATATTCTGTGCATAATCACACTGAGGAACTCACATAAGTTTCCAAATTCGTTTGTATAATCCCATTATTTCCTATTGTTTGACTTTATTGGTGATAATAGTTCTCACACCTCTGGCACTGGCATTGATTCGTTCTTAAAGCAAGTGTTAGGTGTAGATTCGACGAACACAGATCCGGAGTAATCAATCTCGTCTCTTTCTCTCTCTCCACTTACTTATATTACTTTTTAGGATTGTAACTCTTTCGCACCTATTATGTATTATTGCATGTGTTTTGACTGCTTAGTTTTTTCTGCAAGCCAGACATTTTTTGTGAGGTCGGTTATTCAACACTTAGCTGAATTCTTACGTTCCCATAATCTAACTACCCCCCCATCTACTGGTTTGACTTATGGTAGTAGACATCAGTCATCGCAGGGTATTTTGCAGATTACATTATTTTATCTAGTTTGGTCAAGAGAGTACTTTCGTCTATGGAGTTTGTAGGTTTAAGCACCACCCCAATTCCCGCCTTATTAAAAATCCTATGTAAGGTTTCAGGTGTCCCTTTCTTATATCGTAAAACTGTAGATGCTTTAAATTCTTCCTTATTTATGTTAGGTCAACAGTTTCACTACCATTTACCCTTTTTCTTGTGGGTTCTTGTGATCTTCTCAATGAATTTCATAAGATAATTATTTAACATCAACGCTTCTTTCATTGGTTTCAATTCATCATTCAGGTGTTATAGCTTGGTCTGCTAAACAATTAACTAAGCCTGCGTTTACAGGTAACGGATAGGATGAATTAAAGTCTAAATAACTATTTAAGTGTATTAACTTTTTATACACACTAGTGTCTCTGTCATATGTAAGATGAAGCTACAAGACTTATCTGAATGAAGTCTGAGTTTAAGGATAAGATGCAAAATCGTTGAACGTATTGACAACTTCATTTATTTCAGAAGTCACATCAGATTTAACCGACTAATCGTTGACAAAATCGAAGCATGAATGCAAAAAATAAACTACTTTCCATCTTACATCATTTTGGGCAAGGAAGTAACAGGCATTTTTGTTCAACTGTCCACATCAGATGGAGCTAAATGGTAATTTGTAATGATGTTGGAAGAAAAAAGTCAGATAGGGAATTAAAATGAATTTGAATCTTTTTAGGTCAGTGGGATGTGTTAAACATCCTGTTGAAGCATTGTCTACCTTAACCGAACACCTCAAATGGTGTAGAACCAGGTTGGAAAAGAAGAATAAAAACAAAAGTACTAGCTGAAGAAGTCTTTAACTGCTAGTATAAGCCAAATAGGGAAGCATGGTCTACGTTGTTAGGATCCTTCAAGTGTGGGGGTGGGGAGTCAAAGCTTCAATGATCAAAATCGTTCGTAATGACGCAAACGCACACACTCCTTTTCACAGGGCTCAGTTTAACTATTCTCTTCGATGCACACATATTACTCCGTGACCGTAACACCCTCTCAGTTCACTTCAGGTACTTCTTGAAAGTTAATTGTGTACAACAACCCTCGGGGATTTGTTGGAATCACTAACATATAATAGATGAAATTTGAAAGTCACACTCTAATCTCAAAAAGCATAAAATGAACACACACATACATATCATAATCCAAAATTGCTTAGTTTCATCAAAATATATCGATGTACTTACATCTGACGACTTCATAGCACCTAATTTTTCAGCTGTTTGACCGAGTAAAGCTTCTGCAGCATCTTGGAAGCATGTAACCCATAGATCACCGGTAACGTCAGCTATTTTGGCCTATAAAATAAAGTAAGTTTTAAAAACACTCATCAAGTATGCAATAATTCAATTCATGTAAGGTATATTCTAGTTAACAAAATACAGAATCCGATATCCTGACTACAACAATTCACACTACTAGACACTGGTCTTTTGTGATATTAGGCCAAACCTCTTCAATTCAATTAGTCTTAAATACACGCCCTACTAAAATCTCACATTTTTTCTATGAAAATTTCCTAAACTAAGAAACATCATTATCGGCCATTTAGTAATCTCGCTGGTGGGGTCAATCATTCTAACCTTAGCTAAATTCTTATGTTCTAATAATTTTCACTACTTCTGATCTACTAGTTTGACCTATGTAGTTGACTTGACTCACAGTCACTGCAAGGTATTTTGTGAATTATATTATTTTGTTTAATCAGGTCCACCGGGTTTTACCGTTATATCAGTGCATGTATTTCACCGTATATTTACATCAATTTGCCAATAGACAATTCCACTGCCAAAAACTAGTGTGTTCTGCTTTTACCATCAGTACTTCTATGTCACTGGTCTTTTCCGAAACTACTATATTGCATAACCAACTGCTGACACACTAAGTTGAACTACCTTCACAAAATGATCGATCGCTGATTACTTTCATTACTTGTCGCCATAAATTCTAATTTATATCCCAGTGTAACAACAGAAGACAAGGGCCAGGCAACAGATCGTTTTATTATGAAAATCAACACGTATTTATACATATTTCAACTACATTATTATAGACAAGCGCAGTCATCTGATTGGTTGTTTATCAGAAGTTAGGTAGACAAACGCAGGCTTCTGATTGGTTGTTTCGGGATTCCTTGACAAATAGAGTTCTCTATCTGCGAATCATATTTTGCCACGTTAACTTTGCTGTGATTGGTTGTTGACTCAGCCTTGTTCATATTTTCTCACGGCCCATATTAGTGACCTAGACCTTAACGTAGATTAGTGCCAACCAATCGGCTAGCAGCCTGCTCTCACCACACTCGTCCCCCCGTCAAATACGTGCGACTGAAGTCGGCTTGATCTACTTGGTGCAGGCGTCATCGTTGGCTTGTTTCGCTGTGACCATTCCTGGAGCTCGCTGACGTTCACGCGCCTCTCATTGTTCGCCATTGTGACTGTGTCTGCGTAACCCCATCTCGAAGTGACCATATATGGTCCTTGCCACTTTGGAAACTGTTTGCCTGACCCTGTCGAACATTCGTCCATACTTCGGCTCACACTTTCATATGCTGCTTTCACCCGACCTCCCAGCAGCGTCCCAAGTAGCAGCTCCATCGCTGACAGATCTTGAACGCAACTCAACTGCGCAGAAGCCTTGAAGTCTTGCCCGAAGATCCATATGTCTCCATCAAAAACCGCAGGGCATAGGCTTTCCATTTGTCGGTAGGCAGCGACACCAAATGTAACAACAGAAGACAAGGGCCAGGCAACAGATCGTTTTATTATGAAAATCAACACGTATTTATACATATTTCAACTACATTATTATAGACAAGCGCAGTCATCTGATTGGTTGTTTATCAGAAGTTAGGTAGACAAACGCAGGCTTCTGATTGGTTGTTTCGGGATTCCTTGACAAATAGAGTTCTCTATCTGCAAATCATATTTTGCCACGTTAACTTTGCTGTGATTGGTTGTTGACTCAGCCTTGTTCATATTTTCTCACGGCCCATATTAGTGACCTAGACCTTAACGTAGATTAGTGCCAACCAATCGGCTAGCAGCCTGCTCTCACCACACCAGTATATAAATTATAGTTAGTGAAGGTGTGAACAGGTGAGCGCACTAAATTATGTGTTTGGTAACTACTGATATTTTTATCATACGAAAAAATGACCACAGAGATTAGATCAGTCGTTTTTCCTCGCGCACTGGAACCTATAGAGTCAGTTACCTTTTATGGGGGGCTAGGCTAAATTAATATTCACTATTTTAGCCAAAAGTTAACTGCCGAAAATTCGACATGTATCATAGATAGACATCAGAACTGTAAGATGAAATCACAGCTAAATAAACTGAAATAAATATATCAATTGCTGATGCAAGCTCTTAACTATTTTTTTAAAATGTGTCATGGAGCTCATTTCCAACTGAGGTAACACCATATGCCTTAGTTTAAAGTTTATAATCAATGATTGTCAATCAAAAAATAAACTGTATTCATTAGTGAATAATTTCTCAGTCAACATTGTGAGAAACACTTTCAAATGACGTATATATATTTAAACGAAACCAATGGGCATCTAATTAAGTCAAATTAATGAAGTACAGTAGCTAGAGGAGAATAATGAACATGCATTAATGTTAAACTGAAAACCGTGAAAAGCTACTGCTTAACTACTTATGCCAGAAGGGAGGATGTGAAACAACCACTACACGTGATGACACTTAACTCACATTCAACTAGCACATTCAAAAACTAGATAGTGGAAAGGCACAAGCATTTCCTTCCTGTCTGTGAAACCGTTATGGACGATTATAGACTAAACTTCACTATCACCACTATGTATGTACGCTGCTATTCGTCTCTTACTCGATGTCAAGTCAGTGTTTCATCCATAAGGACTCACTTTATATTCAATCGTAGCAAAGGAAGATAAACAACAGTGCACTGAACCAGTGATCTTTCAAAGAAATGAGGTAAAACTTCATGCAAGAAGATGATGCACGACTGAGGATGTCAGAGAACGCCACAGTTCTAAATCGACCCAAAGTGAGCAAGCTATTGATCGTCGGTCTTTGTAATGACGGGGTGCTATGGGATGACACTACAGACCAACTCGACAGTCTACCAACCAGAATTTAAATCATACAAATATTAACTACCTGTTTATTAGTCCAACAAACAACCGGTCTATGTCGCTCTCCGGTTAGTCTCCATGGCACTTTTTAAAGATTACTGTGATAAAAATTATTATTATTATCTGTTGCTCTCTATTGGTATATACATCCAAATATCCCACTGTTTGATTCGTCTTAATTACTATTAGATAGCAGGGAATTCCATTAAGAAATTGCACAATATTTATTGTGTGAGTTGTACTCATGCAAATATTTAGTGACGATATTGAAATTGCAAGTTTGTTAATCATCACTTTTATTGCCCAGGTCATTGTGAACAGAAAATCTCACGATTAGTATTGTTCGATTTTAATTTTTTTGTGAAGAAAATAAGTAAACTATTAATTTCTAGAAGGCCTATTACAGCCAAACACATTTTAATTATCCCCAAATATCATATCCGACAAAAAAGGAAGACTGCACATTCAAAACTGACAGTGTGTGTGTGTGTGTGGGGGGGGGTAATAAATGATCAAACGTGAAATGATGGATATCGTTCCATTCGCCTTGCATGACCTTGCATTCCTTTTGCCACTTAGGCATAAGTGATTGTACGACTACGAACTAGGTGTGTTGTCGTTGATGCTAACTTTAACAGAATTTCAAAAGGTAAAAACAAATGGTTGCCTGTGCCAGATGTTTGTCTTGTCATCGAAGGTTGTGTTCTAGATACATTTTAATTCCACGCATGAGGATATTGCCTTTTCTTGGCCGAGGATGTTTAGTGACTGTATAATTACCAGTCTATACAGAACAGGACTGGCAACATTATGTACCATTGACGGTGGACAAGCCATAGCCTTTCATCAAATATTTCCTTTTAAAGATATCCTACATTGTTTATCATATAGGTGGTTAGAACAAGAAAAGTGATAAACTCACTAAATGATACAATCAGATGAACATCTATATGCATATCATGACGCAACGCAGTACGAGATCTAACGGATTATGTGAATTAGTACATGAAGTTATACGGGTTTCATCAAAATCAACACCAATGGAGATTTCTATTGCACTCTTCTTATTTCTATTATGATTAACGATAATGAACTGAAGAGAGAATTACCAACGCAGGACTTGGCAAAAAAAGTGCAGTAGTTCAAAGTAACGAACACTTTATAAGATTCCTAACCTGTTCATCGTATTTCTTTTCTAACTAGCCTTTCCTTTCTTCCCCTTCTACTGTTATTAGTTTTATGTGATGCATCTTTCAGTGATCAATCGTGATATCTGGCTATTGACTAAAGGGAGGGTGTACTGTTCAGCAGTCCGCTCTGTCCTCCTTTATGGCTAGCTGTGAGACCTGGCCATTGAGAGTGGAAGACATGAAAAGATTAGCTGTCTTTGATCATAGGTGCCTGCGTTTTATTCCCCGTGTGAAATGGTATAATAAGATGAGCAATATCGAGGTTAGGCGTCGAGTGCTAGATAGGGAGAGGGGGATCAGTCGACGAGGTTGTGAAGTTACATTGACTGAGACTGTTAGGACATGTGTTTCTTATGCCTAGTCATCGCCTTCCTTGGCGGTCAGTGTTAACTGACATAGGATGGATCAGGTTGGAAAAGAGCTAGCGGCGGTCAAACCAAAACATGGCTTCACCAGTCAATGGAATAAACAACAGTTAGTTTAAGCCAGTTAGCCACGTAGGAAGATGTAGACTTCCTGACTGGTTGGGGTCCTCGGGACGGTAAAAACCAATGACAGCTGGAAAAAATTGGTGATATGGCTCAAAATAGTTCTCAATGGATGGGCGCAGATGCATCCACTCCTTGTGAATTATCATTTTCAATGAAACTATATTGTTTTTTGTTGTTACTATTCCTTTGTCTCACACCTCTGTTTACTGTCTCTATTATGCATTTCTTCTACTTTTTTCTCTTGCTTTGTGTGCAAGATGGAGTGTGGCGACTTCAACTGCCGCACATCGATGCAAAGTTATGTGTCGAAAACAGACAGACAGACAGTGATCAATGGTGTAGGAAGTTTCTGAATGCATATGAATAGAAATCTCATTTATTAAGTTTTACTTTTAAAATCTTTGGGAACATGGCTTTGAATTTTTCACCTGCGAAGCAAAGAATGGTGAACTTCAACTGATAGGTTCATTACAGAAACTGATGAAAGTAACTGTGAAGGTAGTGAACTTAGACTCTACACAGCTTATGCGAAATATCTAGTTGCTTCGCAAACCTTAAAGGATTTGAAGTAGATAATTAAATATTCTGACCAACTAATACTTATAGTCATGGTAAGGTTGACTCTCTATTCTAATTACATCTCCAACTAACAGTTATCAGATATTGATGTATTTATTACATCAATGATAAGTGTACAAAATATTTTTAAAATGTCATTCTTGATGATGTCCAACAGGCAACTACTTCCAAATAGTAATCTCAAGATTTCATTGAATTGTTGCTACAAATTGATTTGACTACACATAGATTAAAGTTTCGCTACAAATTTGAGTTCATGAACAACTCTGCAGTGTGGTGAGAGCCGGCTACGAACAAGCCAACATTGTAGAGAGCAATTTACGTCAATGTTACGTCCCGAATCGGGGTCATGGCAAAAACAATAACAAGGGTTAACCCTGAGGAACTCACCAACGAGTCACAGCAAACTAAACATGTGCAAATACTATTCGCAGATATATGGCCTGACTTTCTGAGAAACGGTCACAAGTAGTACAGAATAACCTTCGGCAAGGAAACAACCAATCAGAAGACATTGCGTCTCCGCTGACACTTTAATTATTGTTAACAAACTTATCGCCACTTGATTGGCAAACTGTTGTATTGTAATTAAAATGCTATATATACTAGAGTAGAGCCAGAGATGAGGATCTAATTGAAGAGTAAATATTTCTTTGCTCAATCCTTCTGTTTTCTACATCTATAAATATCTGTTGATTTTCTCAATAAACTATCTGTTTCCTGGCCTTTGTCTTCTGTCTTTACAGAAGCACTTCCAACAATACGTCAGAATATACCCAGAAGAAAGACGAGGATTAAAAAATATACCCCAGCCGTAAACGCAACTCTACCTATAAAAAGATTCCTCCAAAAATAATTGTATGGAAACGCACCAGTGAAATAACTGTTGGAATGACAAATGTATGGAAAAAGGCATGTTATGCTTACCATTAGAAGCAGACGCCATTTGTAATCTGGCGTTTCACGAGCACACTTTTCACACCGATATAATCCATTCCCCAAATCGACAACCTTTTTATTACACCCTTCTGTAGAACATGCTTGATACATGAAATTCTCTTTCTTCATGAAGACAATAGTAGCCTAAAGAAGAGGTAAGCCATCATAGAAGAAACAGTCATTAATGCAAATGTAAAAAAATTTTCCAATCACAGTAGAATACTTCTTTATCAATAGCAAATCACTACAGATATACGCGGATGATATCAATGAACAGTGTAAAAAACCCAAACTGAAACTAATGGGCCAACAGTTAATGAAACTGGTCTACGTCCTAGTCTAGTGCAATCACACCACTTTACAGATATGTTAAGGTGATGAGTGCTATGACTGTGGTTTGCCCACTTGAATGAGAAACTGTAAAGTATAAACCTTTCTAAACTTCCACTTTATTCAAATCTTGTAAAAGAAATCAAAGGTATGAAACAATGTAGTTGAATTATTTCAAATAGAATTTTAACTCATGTATAACACAATTTAATGTATTCCCATAAGGAAAAAGTATGAATCAAATTACACTTACTTTGCAAGTAAAATAATCCGCTTTGACATTAGCTCCTACACCAGGTGCTTTAATATCTCGTAGAAGATTCCAACCTCCTAAAATACCAGGTGGACCAAATGATCCATCTGCTCCACCCGCAGCTCCAACCATTTCACTTCGGAAAGTTTCAAAGTTCGCGTAACGACCTTCATGTTCATACCAACCTTTTAAACGTATAGCTTCTGGGATATTTGTAGGAGCAACAACGATAGAAGAGGTTCCACTTGCAGACAGAGAACGACCTAATGTTATTAAAGATAACAAGGTTATATACCCATGCATAGGATATATCTAACAGAGTAATTATCAGAAGTGGATGAATGTTACACAAGAAATACACATGCACCAGACAGGCAATGAAAGACATCTACACTGAGGATCCATAATGCTACTTATTCGTCCAAACAAAGGGATCTCAAACCAGCGAGTTACTTAGTGAATGTCGAATGTATAATACTATGAGCTACAACGCCAGAAGGAGAATCTTATGGTAAAAGTACGATGTGAATTAAACCGTCTCACGTAATTGGTCATATTTAACACTTTCAATTCAGGAAGCTGATAACATCAAGTCTCCTATAACTTTCTATCAACGGTAGGAAACATTTAGTGCTGTAGTAGTTCAGCACATGTTTTCTTTAATAATTGAGAAAATGTATTACACCCACACAAGTACAAAACAAACATAAGTCCGAGAAAGATTATCAAAACTGGATTTCAGCGAAAAAATCAACAACATGAATGTATTAAGATTAATTTAATTGAAAAAGACGAAACATGGTAGAAGAATATAATATACTTGATTTTTGAGTTGTCCGCTTCAAAAAGTTTGCAAAAGTCTGAAGTTTGATTTTAAAATTTGAAATGTGACCTATTAGTTGAATCAGTCAGCTTGAAGCCAATGTGTTTCACTTCATCTGCACTAATGGATGATCTTATCGACCCTCTCATACAGTACATAGTACATGCAAAAAAAATCTGTTCCGAATGGTTTAATGATCTAAACACTGGACGGTTGTCCCACGCGTTTCGGCCCAAGCCGCCAATCAGCATTCGGTTGGTTTGAACTGATCCGGCTGTCTGAGTTGAAGTCAAACCTAGTAAACCATTGATGAACTCGTCTGCAAACCAGTAAATCAGCCGTCTGGTGTTTGTATCACTTCCATCTGGCTAGCAAGTACTACTGGTTGATGTGAATGGGGTATACAACTACTCATTTCAGTCAATCAGTAGTGCACAAGTTATACGCATTTATGGCTGCTTTCTTGATTACCATTTACGGTATTAAGCAGATCACATATTCCGATCTGAATAATTTGGGTTTCCAAAGGAAACAGTGTGGTGATATGTCACCTCAAATTGTGTAAATTTTAAATAAATTTGCAAATTGCGAATTCAATTTACAAATCTGATATATAATCTGCCTCTTAAATATTTACTGTCCAAGTTATGCAATACATATCGTAAACAGATAGATAAGACCAAATCAAAATGAAGACACATATGGATGTGTATATTTTAAGCTCATCAAAAGAAATTAGCTGGCTAAACTTGAACAGATACAATCAGCGAGGACGCTGACAAAATGCAGAGTCTTCTAAACACCTTGAACAGCAATCTACGAATGTTTGGCATGCGATTCGCTCCCGCCAAATGCAAGATGATGTTACAGGACTGGACTACATCGACGCCTAGTTTAAAAATAGGGAGTGAAGTGGTAGAGCACGTTGACCGCTTCACTTATTTGGGAAGTACCATCAGCCCTAACGGGCTGATCTCTGACGAAATCTCAGCACGAATACAAGGGGCTCGTTTCGCATTTGTTAGTTTACGCCGTCTCTGGTGTAGACGAGATGTTCAAATATCGACCAAAGGGGGGTGTACTGCTCATCAGTCCGCTCCGTCCTCCTTTATGGTTGTGAGACCTGGCCACTGAGAGTGGAAGACATGAAAAGACTAGCTGTCTTTGATCATAGGTGCCTGCGTTCTATTTCCCGTGTAAAGTGGCATAATAAGGCGAGCAACATTGAGGTTAGGCGTAGAGTTCTAGGTAAACTGGGGAAATCAATCGACGAAGTCGTGAAGCTACATCGACTGAGATGGTTAGGACATGTGTTACGTATGCCAAGTCATCGCCTCCCTCGACGAGCTATGTTAGCGGATATAGGGTCAGGCTGGAAAAAAATTAGCGGCGGTCAAACAAAAACTTGGCTGCACCAGTCAATGAAATCCACAACAGTTGGTCTAAGCCACGTAGGATGGTGTAGACTTCCAGGCTGGGGTCCTCGGGACGGTAAAAATCTATGGTTGGAAACAATTGGTGACATGGCTCAAAACCGTTCTCAGTGGCGCAGATGCATCCACTCCTTGTGACTTATGATCTCCAATGAAACTGTTTTGTTATTCTTTATTACTCCTTTGTCTCACATCTCTGCTCACTGTTTCTATTATGCTTTTCTTGTACTTTCTTCTCTTGCTTCGCGTGCTACACGGAATGTGGCGACTTGAACTTCCGCACATTTGTGCAAAGTTCTATGTCGAAAACAGACAGACAGACATATCATCCACAGACTGTTTTGCACAAACACGTACTAACTACAAAGATGATCTACTCATATAATTGAAACTCGTCTTAAAAACAACCAACAAGTCTATGATTTCTCTAACTGACTAGCCTAAAACTGAATGTCAGAATCGTTATTGCTGTAATTTAGTTAACACTGTCTTTTGTTTATTTGTCGATTAGGAAGACATCAACACTAAAACTGTTATCACCAAAGATACAGTTATCATACTACCTGATATCTGTCTGTCTTTCTGTTTTCGACATAGAACTTTGCACAAATGTGCTGAAGTTCAAGTCGCCACACTCCGTGTAGCACGCGAAGCAAGAGAAGAAAGTACAAGAAAAGCATAATAGAAACAGTGAGCAGAGGTGTGAGACAAAGGAGTAATAAAGAAATACAAAACAGTTTCATTGGAGATCATAAGTCACAGGGAGTGGATGCATCTGCGCCACTGAGAACGATTTTGAGCCATGTCACCAACTACCTGATATGAACAATGTTTTCCTACTGGTAAGGCTGAAGAATATTAGGATCCATAAAGGATGGTGGTTTGCAAATGATTAGGCGACATGGATGCGTACCGATGAGGAGTATCAAGCTGGGACGAAACAGATGTCCAGTACTCCCTGCTTTTCAGTGATCTCTCTAACTGATGTTGATTCATGACGAAAATCTAACAGCTGAAATCCTCACAAAATCCCATAATTTAGATTATTAAATGTAGTATTTCAACATCAGAGTCTTTTCTCACCGAGGATTAAATGAAGGACCGAATCCTCATTGATTTAAATTTAAGTCACACTAGATTGTATCATTTTAGAAATAGAATGTGATTACTATACACATTAGTTCAGCTTCGCAGTAGTTTTCGAAAAAGCAATTCACAGTAATTAACCTGTCTATAATAATAATTAGCGCATAGTAAACATTGTGCATTTACAATACGGTACCGTATACCTTCACTCATTAGAAAAACAGTATATTTTCACTGAACACTAGGATGCTGTATTGATTGTAAATAAGCAAACCTTAGTGATGAATTTCAGGACAACATAATTCAATGTATTATTTACAGCTATAGTTAGAACTCCAATACTTTGTGGAGCCGGATACGTATGTAGTAAGCGTCATCAAAACTCATAAACTCAGTGTTTATTGTAGCTTTCTTCAGTCCTATTTTTTCTTACTAGCCCAGTAAAGCTAACATGACTAATATTTTCAGTTAGAATCCAACCTAATTAAGAATAGATTAATTCCTAAATGTACTAATTTAGGGCTAATAATCTCTTCCCAACAAACTAAAATTATTGATCATTCTTAGTTACTTTTTCTGAAAAAGGTTTTTCTTAAAGTAATCCGATTTTTGCGTAAGACTGAACTCTCATTAACCCAGAAATTTGGACAAAAGTGTCTCTGTCAAGTTTCCACACTTCACCCTGCCACAGAAGAAAAGAGAATCGGACAGAAACAAATTAAAATATGATATTCCTGTAAAACACAGTGTGTGCGTCAGTGGTTCAGAGAGAGAACGTTCGCCAACTGCGTATGTGGTCCGGGGCTCGGTCCCCTGCCAACACACCCTTAAACTTCACTAAGCCGGTAGTAGGGCTAGTGAAGGGGGAAGGCTGGACACGAGGTTAGCGGTCCCACCCCGTGAAAATAAAGTCAGTTACTGAAACTTTAAAGCTCTAGCTTATAGCCAGTCGGAAAATAAAGGAACAAAATAATAAAGTAATAAAATATGTACAGCACAGTAGTCAATAAACTGGTAAGCTATAAGGATATACCTCAGATAAAATGATGAAAAATGTCAGCGAAATATAAGTGGATGTTTATTAGTTCATAAGTATGGATCAAAATAAAAAAACCAAAAACATACCATTAAAATCAGATACTTTGGCTGCCTTTACAACAACAACAGGATGATTTCCACCATCGAAATTCTCCGCCTCTTCACCCCATAATGTAAGCCTTACTAAGCAGTTAGAGCTATCTACTAAACCCAATTCTCGTTTACGTAATTCACGTTGAGATGCTTTAGCTGTGATAGTTTGAACTTCACCGCATTCATGAACAACTCCAACGATATCTAATAATGAATTACACAAATTTAAAAAAAAGTAAGTGGATAGAGTTATAGTTAGGCAAACAGAAATAGACAAGAAGAGATAAACGCTATAAAATTCATTACTGTAAACTTTGGTTTCAGTCAAATTTGTTTTACAGAAAACCAAAAGGAATATTTTGATATTAAGATACCACCTGAAAACGTTAAAGGTGATCGACAGCAGCGCAAAATAGGTAACCTGAAGGCATTCTGAATGGTATTCATCCTCATGTATTTGTTAGCTCTTAAGGTATTCATGAATCATTTGACAGGAGATAGGAAAATAAACTTCAAACCTATTAGATGATTTCAGAGTCATCCTCGACATGAAAGACTGCAATAGGGAACCAGATTCCTGTCATGTTGATTCAAGTGTTTATTAATCACTGTCCTGCAAAATGAATGCTCTAGGCAACGAACTAAACTGAAAATTTCACCTAAACACTACTGACTCAAGTATATCAGACACAGAATCTAACTCGAACGTCTAGTGAAGATCTAGAACAATTCATGTCTGACATAATCCATTGCTACTATCATTACTTAAAAGTGCAGTGCAAACTAACAGACTGATATCAAAAGAGCATGTAAGACAATTGAACGAACTATTGAATAACAAGGATATAATATTAATTCGTCCAGATAAAGGATAGAGCATAGTTAGCTTAAATCGTGAGGATTACATCAACAAATTATGTACCGTTCTTTGCGACGAAGAAAAGTGATTAAAATCAACCCACCAGAAAGATAGAACCGAAGGTATTGAGAATGAATTGTCAAAAACTTTGAAGAAGATGAAGGACGAATCTATTATTACTTCGTATATGCACGAATATCTCAAGCTGACTGGTTCAACCACCCCTCGTTTATATGGTGTCTCTCTGCGACCTATATTGCATATGCTAAATCTCCGTATCATTCTACACCAAAATGGCTCCCCGAGATCCTTGAACCAGTAAGATCATAATCTATGTAAGCATAGTCTTTTAGACACTTGACTTCGTCAGTTGCGTCGGCAGAATTAATGTGACTGATAAGCATATGATTTCATTAGATGTTTGCTCGTTGTTTACAAATGTACTATTAATAGAAACTATTTGTTATTTATGTGATCACACTGACCTAGAATGCATAAATATTGGAGTGCCGATCATCTGAAACAGCTATTGTTGAGATGTACGCTTAATGTGCATTTTAGATTTAATCATTTCATCTATAACCAAAGGGATGGGGTCGCCATGGGGTCTCCATTAGGTCCTCTACTAGCGGATGCCTTTATGGAGGGCTTGGAGAGGGGACTATTGAAAAAAAAACAATCTCAAGTCTGTATATGTATAACCGATATACACCTTCATTAATTGTGAAAATTGTTCAACTGCCGAGCTTCTTGAAAAATCTAATGGTCCTCACTTATCTATGCTTTTCACTATGGAAGAAGAGTCCAACTCCGCATTTAACCTCTTAGGTGTGATGCTCGATAGAAGAGAGGATGGCACGTTAAAAAGGTCGATCTACCGAAAGCCAACATTTACAGATCAGTACACTAACCGTAACAGTTGGGTACCTCTAAACAGGAAGAGAAATCTCACCCATCCTCTATGCTCCAGAATTCGGAAAATTTTCTCTGTAGATACGATCGACTTAGAATTAGAAAACCTTCGTACAACTCTCTTAAATAATGGATATCCTAGAAAGTTTATCGACAGAAACATCAAAAAAGAAACTGTCCTTAGCCAAATCACAGTGCCGTAGAAGACACTGTTTGTGAGTCTGGCTTTCAAAGGTGACAGTATTTCTGAAGTAATCAAAAGTTGTTTATTTAAATGCATTAAACGGTGTTTTTATGCAGCTGACTTACATTTAGTATTTATCAGCCGAAACATGATTCCACATTGCGTCAAAGATAAACTACCACTAATGTCCACCTCTATGTGCATATACTCATTCACATGCTCGTGTGGAGCTGATTACATTGGACTTTGTAAGCGTAATCTCCGTAAACACTGAACACTATCTTGTTCGTTTAGTGAAAAGCGAGAAAAGGATGACAAAGTCTTCAATCTACGAACACCTAGAGTCAGGTCATTCATCCCCAAGTGACTTATCCTTTAAAGTTATCTACAGGACCTAATCCAATCACTCCAAAAGCTTACGTTTTCTCCACTTATGCATAGCCGAAGCTCTAGCTATACATGGACAAAAAACTAAATTATGTATTTAAAAACGTTTTGTCAAACCCCTTTCTTGACCTTGGTCATAATAATGTTTTTATTTTATTCTGTTTTACCAATTGAATTCATTCCACTCCACTTCACCTTTTCCGTCAGTAATTGTTATCATCCTATTCTTAATTTTTCAGACAAAACCTGACGTACAATCTAAAATCTTGATACCAGTTCACTTATTTAATAATCTTTAAAAGTTTTGTAATTCATTTACTTCAACTCTACCCCCTTAGTACATCACTATAGTTATCTTTATTCTTATCATACGTATGTTGACTGAGAATTTTCTGGTGCCAATTAATGCCTTTTTCAGTAGTATAAATACGAATGTACAGCTTGAAAATGAAGTCGTTGAAAAGAGATATTTCTTCGCTGAACAAAAAACTGTTTTTTTCCTAAGAAAGATCACGGGTTTATATTCTGCTTCAACAGCAGACCTGAGTAGTGAGTTACTTTTTCTCATTCCTTCGCATTCTGAGTGGAACATACGGCCTCCAGTTTGAGCTTTGAGAATCCAGTAGTGTTATTTTACCGGGTAGAGTTGCCAGCCTCACACCCAGTCTACTCTATTTGCTCAAATTACTACCGACTATGACAGGTTTAGGTTTACGTCGCTTTCCACTTCTCTGTTTAGCCTAAGAACACTTCCTTAATGATACATAAGGAGTGAAGTTGAAGACGTGAAGATAACATTGTTGGTATAAAAGGCTCAATTTATAGTATTATCAGAAAGGTATGACTCATTCATACTTTCCAACTTATCAGAAAAAAATCCTGTCCCAGCTATTTTGGGGTAATGGCGAAAAATTCGAAAACTTACCAACAAAAGAACCGGGAGACTGAGTGTCTAGTTTTCCAATCGGGACAAAGTTGAAGTGAGTTTCTGGTAAAGAACTTGTATCAGCGTCTTCACAGGGAATAATTTGACTGTCAGCATGAAGCGACATTTCATAGTCATTGTTAGTTGTATTAAACTGTTTGTTGGCCGCTTTTAGATTTGCTCGACTAACGTAGTACACTTTATTTACCTATAGGATAAATAACGAAAGACCAATGACAGGAAAAGTAAGAGTTTCTGGTAACCAATAACAAAAATAATTTACATGTTGGTCAATACCACATACTTCTATCAGCATTCACGTAATCCTACGATTTTTCACAATGACTGAGCACGAAAAATATATTTTGCTGATTCCACAAGAGTACTTTATATTTCTATTATAACAAGTGCATGTCGTGTCAGCGAACAGTAACTAACAACTAATTACACATATATCAAGTAATCCAAAAGTTTTACTCCAGTTCCCACACCAACATTCTTAATGACAAAGGAGGATGAATGATTTACAACTTTAACTAGCTTTACTTTTTCAGAACGGCGATAGGGATGATTTTATCCCCACAATAATTAACTTATTCACGTGACATGTTTTTGAAGCATACCTCCACTTATCTATGAGATTGGTTTAAATAGAGTTCCGGTGTTATGTTTAATTTACTGTTGTCAGTAAACTATCCTGAAGTGTTCCAACTATTTGTAGACGCCAACTCATGGAGGAATACCGACTGTTAGCTACGTATGTTGTATGAATTTCAAGTCGATTTCTCAGACCCGGTTAATCAATGGAAATAATAAGACAAATTTCGTAAATATGTTAAAGACTGAGTACGTGACGAGACATAAGACTGATCTGTGATTGTTGATGTTGACAAAAGAGAGAAATTAACTGGTTGTTTGTCAGTCTAACAACTATTCATAATCAGCACAGAGTAAATGCAATTGACCTGTTTGCAGATAAGTTGTCTATCATACTTAACACCGATCAGAAGAAAGTTCCCACTATCTAGCAAAGAGTAGTGGTTACGCAGTGATAACTTACACACTATAGATTTCCACGCAATGCAGTTATCTTCAGGGGAACTATAGCTACTACATTTGAGTCACGGAGCAGTGTACTACATACCTTTTAAAAAAGGGAGTCAGCTTTCATGCTTTGATACCCACACTATAAATCCATTTGACTAATAGTAACAATGTCAGGGCATTAACTTAAGGAATTAACGATTCCCCGCTGAAAACTACGTTGGACTGACATCACAGCTTACATGTCAAATATCGTCTATCTGACAGCACTGACTTGAAGTGGATGGTTATCTGAGCAAAGATATGGGAAGTGGTCATCAACATCAATCTCTGTTAAGACTCTGAATGTACCAACTTACAGTCTTTTTATGTGAATCAGACTAACTATGTGTGAATCCAAATGTTTTCATACAATAATGTCTGGATCTTTGATATTTAAATATATTTCCCCATGGAGCATTCGCGATGAAAAATACCAAATTTTGTGTCTAATGACGTCTGTTGACGGTAGAGCAGTTATGTTAGCAATGAGATGGAAAAATTTAGAAAGTAGTCGAGTGCTATTTATGATCAGAATGCATGAGTGCAGCCAGACATGTAGATGGGTCACCCTTCTCGAGTGGTCACAGTGAAAGCAAGTATCCTCTTAGTATCTAACAGATGGTTACTCTCACTTGACTACATTACCCTCACTTAGTCTGCCTGAGACCGGTGGTATACTATCTGTTTAAGCATCCTGGAACTTGTGCAGTTTTGTCCACACGAAAGATCTTACTGTTGTGCAAGAACCATCAACGATAAAATTTTACTCCATTCTTAACTGAGAGAGCAACAAAGTTAGGTTACTAATCGTCTCTGGACACATCCTACCCTTTTGTCAACAGGACGACTTCGTCATAAAATCATTACAGTATAAACAACTACTGTCATCACATTAACTGTAATTTGTTTCACCAATTAACGGTATACACAAGGACACCAATAAAAATAACACTTCCTTTAAATCTAACACTCATAATAGCAATTCCGGAAATAGGTTGCTAGTACACTTAGTTAACTACAGACGCCAACGCATCAAAACTGGATTTCACTTACCTCGATTAAATCATAATACTTGTCTGCTTCAGCATTAAATGCAGTTGCACGGATTTCTCCACTTTCATCAACCAATGTAAAGTTAAAAAGCTTTCCATCACGCCCTTGCTTACTCCATGTTCGAATACTTGACTTTTGTGATACGCGAGCTCGTATAGTCCACCTGTTTTGGTACGGATTAAGGCTCTGGATAGGAAATACACGAGGTAGTCCAGGACCAGGGGTCCCTGGAGTACTTGGTTGACCTCCAGAAAACGGACCGTTTGCAGACTTGGGTGGTGTTTTGTGCTCTGGTTCGACTGGCTTAGGTATTGTTGCAGTCTGTTCACTCTTTATCGCAGCTGAAATTAAATTGACCAGGAGTTAGTCCTAAACATAGTCAAGACTAAACGCTTCAATCAAGCTATAACTAAAAATAATCAACCAACGAACACACTATATAATGGAACATCGGCTGGAAACATTGAAATACTCTTCAGCTGCCTTTCAAGTCGGTATGATACTGCTATTTGATACTAACTGTTTCACAGTAAGTAGAAATATTTACGATCCCAACACTAGTATGAATTCAGTAGGGATAGATAAACTCCACCATATTAGGTCAGACTAAAAACAATGACCAAATAAAAGTGCTCCCAGAAAAATCAATTCAGCTAATTGGCAGATCATGTCCATGCTCCTTATTTACATCATAACATTTATTGAAAGGATCACAACTTGTGTACTTTTACTTATTTAAGGTTCAGCACTCCACATTCTTATCAGTTAGGGTTTTCGAATATATTCACCAGTTTATACTTATCTGATTTCTGGCTATCTTTCACAACTGTATGATATGAGTTGAATGAACACATTCCTATGCACGGTTTCACATTTGGCCGATCTATCTGGGCGTTAAATGAAATTTATTTAGACGGAACGATGAGCAACACGAAGATACTAGACAAACCAGCCGTACAGGTAGCGATTCCGGAAGTAAGCATTCTGAGACAATTGAGAGGCGTAAAACTACACGAGAGCGTGCCGAAAACCCCGAGGATCTATCTGACATACCACAGCCTATTCCACTATCTACGTGTAAACCCACACTTCCAATTTTTATTTTTGATTACAGCTTGATTCCACTGTATTTTTGGTACACGTATGGAATTTTCAGCACGGATATCAGTAGCCCGAACTTTGCAGGCCGACCATAGATATCAAGTGTGCGTAGGCAGGGGACCGAACCTCGGATTAGGTGCATGGTCGGCGAAAGTCCTTATCACTGTGCCACCAACGCAGTGCAATGACTTAAGTATAGACCATTCTGCCTACATTCGTAACTTGAAGAATTAGAAACACTCTAGACTTAACGATTGAAGACAAAGCGAATCCAGTTAGATCGTAAGACAAAATTAATTTCGAATAGAAACCCTGGTGCTATGCAATGTTATGAATATCTAGACAAATAATCCCTAAACTGCATGAATTTTGTCGGGAGTATAACTTACAATCTGCCCTGCATGTGACCGAGTGGAGAAGAAAATACGTTAGACAACACATGACTAATCTGACCTTTGATATGGATACCAAAAAGTGAAGACTACTAAGTAAGGTGGCTGTGTAACTCAGAAGCCTAGTGAACAATACCTTAGTTATCTACTGTGCTGAAACCCAGCATGCGGCTCTACCACTGCCCAGCTAGCATTTTTTCGGGCGTATTGCAGACTTTTGGGCAGACTTGGGCAAACTGCAGACTTTTTGGGGGCGGACTTCGGGACACTGTCCCACGTAAGTAGATCTACCCTAAGTTTTTACCTCAAAAAGTCTGCAATGCGTCCGAAAAAAATGCTAGCTGGGTGGTCACCAGTGTGGTGAAGTCCTTGTGAATAGTCAGTTTTTTAAAACAGTATCGACTCAAAGTATGAACCATCAGCAAACAACAGTAAAGTTTTGAAAATAAAATCGTTACAATGAAACAAAATGTGAATGTCGATTACTCATGTAAGTTCAGAGCAGGTAAAGCCACACAGAAACCAACCTGATGAATCATCCGTACCAAGAATATCAAGGTCCAGAACGATAAGTACAACTCTGCAAAATAACTTGACTTAAAAGAAAGTAGTACTTGTTGTTTTGAATGTTGTTGCAAACATGTTTCTTTACACGAATTACGGAGTTATTAACCAGTTTGCTTTCATCAATCAGGTGATTCAGCTGAGTAGCGAGCATAGCAACTGAAAAATACTTATAAAACTTAGTCTTACATGAATGCGTCTTCACACCATCAGAAAGCAGTAATCGATATCGATTTTGGCCACCACCGCCCCCTGGGACACTTTTGAACCCCTAAAACAGTAGTGGACTTGAGAACAACGTACCAGCAGCTTGAGGACCGGCTCTTCAACATTTTTTCCTTCGTTTATGGCCTACAATCGGTTAACAACTAACACCGAATTTACGTCAATAGCCCCCACTGTCAATTTAAACATCCCAGATCTTAAAATTGAAATCGTTCCAAGCAAATGTACAATGTAAAAGAAGTTCAAGGACAAAGCCCAACTTGTAGAGATGAAATAGTGCAAAACTTGAGATGGGTTAAATTTATTCTTCGAAAGTCGGTGAGAAGTTTTATGAAGTTAAACTAAATGCCTACAAAAGGAACCCTGCAATACTCTGAATAAGGGATATTTATTGACAAATTGTCATGTTATTTAAGAGGATAATTTGCGTTATTCTAGCCCCTGATCATAAACCTAACTCCTAACCTTTATCGTACTCCTAACCTTAACTCCTAATTAAAACCTAATATATAACTTCGGTTCTAGGCGTCTAAAGTGAATCAGATCGGGTAGAAGGCCCTTCAAAAAAAACTTAGGCTTCATTCATGACTGGTAGTATAGCTGCTCAAGGTCGTTTTTTGCTGCTAAGTTTATCTCCACCATACACTTAAAATAGCGATGACTGGTTTCCAAAATGTATGATTTGAAAAATGAAGTGGAATAATTCAGTGTGGTGTTACTGGGGACGATCATAATGAACCATAATGAATGCAAATGTATGAGAAGAATCTGTACAAGGAACGTAATGAAAATTTATTAACTCTGGAAGAATACAGAGGTCGAATGCATCAGCTCCAGGAAAGGCGGTTTTCAAGCATGTCATCTACAGTCTTCAGCCAATGGATCTCAGGGCCCCGAGGAAACAAACCAGTCAGTCTCCACTTCCACACTTGGCTCAAAACGACCTTCAGAGCCTTCATAGATTATAGCTAGGTTTTGATATTACCACCCATAAACGCTTTTTAACCTGGCCCTATACTCACTGAGGAAGGTAGCCGTTTGGCATGCGTAACACATTCCCAGTCATCTCACACCTTCCACCAATGGCATTTCCTTCCCACCCAAAACTTCACGTCAAATATTAACATCACTTGTCATGTAGTACCGTCTAATACGGGAGACTAAACGCGGATATTTGTGGTCAGAGACACCTAGCCCTATCGCATCTTCCACTTTCAGTGGCCATGTCTTAAAATCACAAAAGAGGACGGAGACAAATGTTACCAAGTAAACATATCCTGTGACCAATAGCAAGATATCACGTCCACGTTAGAGATGACGTAAATTGGAAGTACCAGAAACCCTTTTGTGCTCGCCCTGAGATTTCGTCAACAGTTGGTTCACACTCAGTCATTCCAATCCTTTTCTTTTAACTGAAAGTCGACTCGAACCAGTCATGCAGTCACCTGACATCTAAGGGGAGCAAATGGCATACCGAACACACCAAGATGTCTACACGACGTGTTCAGAAGATTCTTTGTATGGCAGCCTCTTAACCCATGAGGAAAATATTACCCACATGATTCCAATCGATAAGAAATTCCTTGGTAGCAAGTCTATTCCTGAAAACAATTATGGTCATACCCAGTGGCATATGTATGATGAAATTAAACCCCTAACGGCAACCAGCAGTTGTTGTCGCTGCACATGGAAACTCTCTGTGGGCTTCTACATTTCTTGCGGGTTTCAGTACAGTGCCTTAATTATTGCGATTCGCGTCGTCATCGACCTCATCCCTGTGAAACATTGCGACAGTACCTCTGCGCCGAGGAAATCATATACTGATTTCATGCCAAGAAATAGCCCTAATGTTTTACGACACTGAGTGTGTGTATCAGTCGAAGGATGACGACACGATCAGCGCATTACCTTCCAGGCTTAAATCCTGCCTAAATCTCTCAGTTCGTTTGTCTGAGGACTGCTTAATCTACTTGTCTCCATACCTATTATTCTGGATAATAAATGAACCTCACTGTTCCCAGGGCATGGTCTCTGATTCTCTCACATCAAAAAACATGTGGATTAACTTGATCAGTAGTATACAGTCACCAAGCCTAAACACCTTCAAGCTAATTACTTGCTCTGCCTGAACGACTTAGGGCGCATTTCCGACTGTCTTTGAATCAAATAACCCTCAAGATTTGTTTGCGTGTTTATCTGTCCTGATAGATCTGTGCCTTGGCCGCACTAGATGCTAACTCTCTATCCTGACTCACCTAACCGCCCCAGCTTGTGAAGGGGGAATACAACACTTAAGGCTTTTCAAGGATGTATCTCCTATCGGGATTATAAAAAGGACATAAGGATATACAGTACGGTAAATAGCTGCAATCGTGCTCTTATTCCTTGCGAATCCCATTGACCACAATGTGATTCAATCTGCTCATATAGACAACATCTGCTCCAAGTCTTCAATAAGGTACACCCAGCTATTAAATTCACTTGTGAAGAGGAACTCCAAAGTAGTATTCCATTTCTCGATGTTCTTCTCACGAAAAGATCGGACGGTACATTGACAAGAAACATCTATAGAAAAGCGACGTGGAACGGACAATACACCCACTTCTATAGCTTCATACCTATGCAGTATAAACGCAACCTAATTCGCTGTCTTAGTCATAGAATTAGATGCATATGTACCGAGGACTGTATTGAAGATGAAATAAAAAATCTTACAAACGCCTTGCTACAAAACGACTATCCTACCAACTTTGTAAAGAAACATATCTACGAAACTACACATAATACCAAGCGAGACACACTAAGTAATAAAAAGCTTTACTTAAATGTACAATTCAAAGGTGATTTAGCCAGTGATATATTAAACCGTAGATTAACAAGATCAATTGACAGAACTTCTAATGCCGCAAAACTGTATGTCAGTTTCTCAACCAAACCGATATTGACACCGTGCATTAAAGACATTGCCCAAAATGGCGACATCTGTGTGTGTATATGAATTTAACTGCTCCTGTGAAGCTAGTTATATAGGTCGTACCCAGAGGAATTTATCTCTACGCACTCGTGAACATATTCCTGTTTGGCTTAGGAAAAGACCAACCAAATCAATTAATAGTGCAATTCTGTCTCATCTAGTGGATAGCGAACACAGCATCAAAGTAGATGAGTCATTTACAGTTGCGTATCGGGTACCAAACAATCTCCCCAAAGGCACACGATTACGCCTCCTAGCCATAGCTGACTGAGGCTTTAGAGATTAATAGAGAAAGACCAGATCTATGTGTACAGAAAAACCTTATTCACTTTCTTTGTCTACCCTGGCCCACTATAAGGTCACCAGGATCATAATTTTTTCGTGCTATTATTATCATTATTATTATTTTGTGGTATCATGTCTTCATTATCCATTTCTCCATCCAGTTTATTTCACCTCATTGTTACCCTTATTTTGTCAACCTTTATGATTTTATACTAAACCCACCAATACTGTAGCATTTTATTGCAATTTACAATTTAGCCTCTTTATTTGATCATCAGACATTATCGGTCAGCCCTCACACCCAGTGCCTCATTTTTTAACGTGTCTTTACATGTAATTTGTGGTTATCGCATTTTCTCACCCCAAGGACACTTGTATTCTGTTAACTATAAAACTACACTATATCGCCCAATTGTTCATTCACACTTCATCACATTTTCTGACTAAACACCCTATACACATTTAATTGACTATGTTAACTAATGGACTATCATCTCAACTTACACATGCACCCCAATACAGTTTCTGAAATGATTTTCATTTGCCTTTACTGGCTATATGTACTCTATTATTCATGGATTTATAACTGTAGAGCCTGAAGAAGAAGTTATCGAAAACAACTGTTCGCTCAAATTCTCATTTTCATATAAACAAGTTATTTGGTGCACGGATAATTACATGCCATTCAGATAACTTGTCAGCCAACTCTAAGAAACTGTCAATGTCCAGCTCTTACCACGTTGGACCTCACGCTGTCCCTGGAAGACTTTCAGAAACAATTTGTAATAACCAACGCAAAAAACCAGAGCACAGATTGGCGACTCGAGAATCCTTTATTCTTACGCCAATATGTAACCAACAATAGGGTTATTACACGCAAGATCTAAGAATAAATGTCATAACAATAAATCACGATGATACTTCTGACGGTTTTGATCTTCTTTCTGGACAGCGACCGATGAGACGATGACTGGTGTATTGATGTCTCCGCAAACATTTAGGAAGTTGGGTTTGAGCAAACAACCATGAATTGATCGTTCAATCTTCAACTACATTGACAGTGTATTTCACACGAATAATTCAAATGTCGCAGTGACTGGCGAGCAGAAGACTGGTCGTGTGGTCGATATGCTTCAGTCTGCAGGCACTGTCCATTCCAATGCTTCTGAGTACCCACCTAACCAGAATACTACCTAACACGCATGTCCTAGTTACAGAACGTGAATCAGAAACACTCAGCCATTTGGTAGATCTTGTGAGCAATATATTTACACGTAATCATTTTTAAGGATATTTTAGGGAATGATCATAGAACATGTCTGTCAATATTGACTGAAATAAACAACCTGAGTATGTACATATCATCCGCACGCAGGAGAGGCGCAAAATGAGGCTTAGTATATTCAATTGCACACCCGTGAAAGCGAAAACTGAAGCACCTAAGTCGTCAGTAGACGATTAATACGTTTGCTCGAATTCATATTATGTTGATTTAGTTTCATATCTTCATTTTAGCCCTGGATTTACTTTTGCGCGGTAGATAGCGCAGTGCTATGGAATAGCAATGTGTACCACTTTTACGATCTTTTGGTTACAGCGAAATGTGCCCAGTGGGATTATATGAACATATCCTTCTCGCTATGATGTGAAGTGAATTATTAACACCTATTGTATACTTCTGCACCCCTCTGGAGGTTTTATTGTGTCTTGTCTTTTCAGAGGTACTGCCTCCAACGAAGGCACTGATACACCGCTGCTATCCTCCACTTATTCGGAATATTGCTGGGTCACCTGGCGAATAACGGAACCACGTATATTATAAAATCTGCTGACAAGTTCAAAGTCGGTCTCATATACAACTGGAAATGTCACAAATATGGCGTACTTACCAGTGAATTTAAAGTTTCATAGACTTTAAAACACTTTACGAATCATTCACTAATAGTTTTTGTTCATTCTGCATCTCTTATGTATCACGCCAGCACCTGTATAAAAATGCTACTTACCTTCCACGATTAACGCAATCATTTATAATTCCCGCGTGTAATTGACATACTGTATTTTTCTCACTTACAGTTTAGATTTGACACTATATCTCATGACTTATTCGGCCGAAAGCAGAC